GTGTTTCCAATTTTGTTCCTTCCCTGTGCCGTGCCTCGCCTCATGTGTGCCATGCGTTTATGTAATGCCTCTCACTGTCTCTTGCCTTCTGCCTGCTGAATGGAGACCCTTAAAGCTTCTCCCAAAAACGAAGAACGGACGAGGAAAAAGCACTTGAAGTTCTGTCTCTCTGGGCAGCAGAGAGAATTCCCAGAAACAAGTTCGAGACGAAGATCTCGAGGCAGGAGGCTGAAAATTCTGTGAGAAATTCCAATGGTAATGCAAGGTAATGGTCGCTGGATTCCCAGGCTGCTGCCTCAATGCTGATGCTGCTGCTGCTGCTGCTGCTCCGCCCTGCCCCTGGGTTCACGTTGATTAGTGACGCTGTTTACCTGTGGCATGATGCTCGAATGCTCGGACGCTCTGATGCTGTTTGTGTGTGTCTTCGTGTACGTGTGGTACAGGTTTGTGGAACGAATCTATAAACTGAAATCGCATGCTGCCACGGCCCGAGAGACAGATACGAGCGAGACCCCGAGGCTGTGTGTGTGTGTGTGTCTGCTCTGTTTTATTATAGTTTTACCAATGGAAATTCCAACGCACATTTTCGCAGCACTTTCCCCCTGTGCTCTGGCCGCGTGCTGTGTCCTAAACGCCCACGTGTTATCCTGTCTGTTTGTCCGTCCGTTGTCCTGCTATCGCCTGCTGTATAGCTTTTTGGGTTATTCACAAAACAACGTTGCTGCGGCATTTAATTGAAATGCCATTAAATTTCCACTGATACTCGCATGAGAAATGGTGGCCCATTCTCTTTCTAGCTGCCACATTTCACATGCAAATAGAAGCGTTCGAAGCAGATTAGAAAGTCCAGCGGGATGCCACAAGTGGCTGGCTGGGCTCTTAAATGCTTAATGCGGGTGCAGCAGTCTCTGAGAGGTGTTTACGACAGGCTTTTAGGCAGACTCGAGAGACCCTTCAATGGCCCCAAAGTGCCATTAATCAAGGCAGCACGAATCGGATCCCATGCGACACTATCAAATGCGGTTCTCCCCTCCCCAACTTATAAATGTTGCCTAACCAGAGAGGCAGCTTGAAAGGTAAACAGACAAAGCCAACGACAGACAGACAAACAGATAGACAGACAGACAGACAGACAGACACATCAATTTTAAAGTTCTTTCATTCTTTTATTCTTTGGTTTACAGAATTGAAAAGCGCAGCGCTTCAAATCCAAACGAAACAGCAGCTATCCGAATCGTTCAGTCTTCGATCTTTCCAACCTATCGAGTGGGGCTGACGCTCTGTGAGTGTGGGGCTGTGGCTGTGGATGGGGCTGTGTCAATGGGGAGTCGGGGCACACATAGCTTAAAGTTCAATGACTGAAAAGGTGCGTTCTTCTTCTGACTGCGGTTGTCGTTCTGTTCCTCTTGCTGCTGCTGCTGCTGCTGCTGCTGATGCCGCTCTTGCGGTTGCCTAGAAATTCATCAAAGCTCCGGCAACGACTTGGACTCCATTTATATTGGCCATTTGGTTTTGGTTCTCTGCGCCCGGCTAGCGAAAACGTGCAAAAATGCAGCCGGTGCTGTGCAGCCCCGATCCCCGGCCACGATCGGCAATCAATCTGCAGATTCCAGTCAGTCGCGAGGAGAAGCACGCAACAAGTAATCTTTGGCTTTGCCTCTCTCCTTCTGCTGCCTCTGTGTGTTGGTTGCCGTTGAACTTGTGGCCTTAAGTGGATGCTGCTACACTTGCACCGAGTTGGGTAAACAGCCACAACGCAGAGGAACGAACAAAAAGCTGCCTCAAAAGTATTATCTAAAAGGCAAGAGATATACAGAGCAGAGAGCAGCTGAGAGTAAATATTATACAAGCCAGAGCCAAGTTTGTCTGTGGAACTGACGTTATGCAAGTATTTTCCCTAAGAACTAATATGAAGACTCTAGGTTGTGTGGTTGTGGTTCAACGTTTTTGGATATTCAAATAAAAATGTGTATCCGTTCGCTTATGGAAAATGTATACAATCAAACCATCAACACTCGAGGATCGTCACATAGGAATACATCCTATTGGAAGTGGATTTTTTATTATATACCAAAGAGGTAATCTAATTTCCTTATTTGGAAATAAGAAACATCCTTATAGAGTTCCTTTAAGCACTTCCTTCCTCTGCATAAAACTCTCAGATTCAAAGCCGGTACCGGGACCTGGTATCCGTGCTTCATCTTGTTTACGTGCAGACGATGACAGACGCGTCTATTTATCTGCATCTCTGTATCTGGCGGGTCTTTTGCTTGGTTGGTTTACATTTCGGTTTTGCGCTGCAAGTGAGAGAAAAATGTTGGGAAAATAAACAAAACAAATAAAAAAGAGCCAGCCAGAATTCCAGCCAGAGGATGGAGCGCACCGATCCCATCCGAACGGAGATGAACTGAAGTGGATTGGCCCCAAAAAGAAAAACAAAACCTAAGAAAAAGGGAGGGACGCCGCTGGGCAAACTTTGGGCTGCAACAATCAAATGCTCATCAGCGCACTTGAAAACAAATGCGTTTAAGACAAAAAGAGAGAGATGCAGATACAGATACGAACGAGCAGACAGCAAACGCACTACGGGTATCTGTATCTGTATTTTTTCCATGTTTCTGTTTCTTTTTTTTCGTATGTATCTTTCATTTTTTTTGGCTGAGCATTTTCATTGCTGGTTTTATTTTTCGTTGGCTTGTTTGTTTAGTATTGTGGCAGCACACACACACACACACACACACAGAGAGATACTCGCAGCAGACAGAGACACGCAATGGCAGCTAAATGTTGCAGGTGGGAACAGGTTTTGCTGTGTTGTTCGGTGTTCGGTGCTCAGATGCGGGCCATATCTCTCTTCTGGTCTTTCGGTTTTGGTCCCTCTTGCGGCGCACGCGTTATTTATGCCCCACTGTGGCTGTAATTACAAATTTTTGTTTCCTGCAAAGCCTTTTGGGCATGTGTGTTTTGCTGGATGATGCCCACGCTCGCTCGCATGTGGCAGACACAAACATGTAGTACTTCTGTACTACTAAGTATTATTCTAAGTACTGAAAGAGAGAGGCGGCGAGAGTACAAAAAGCGCCCGCTGTGCATAAACATTTCTTTGCTGCTTGATCAGTCCGGTCACGTAGCATATAGCTGACACTGCAACATGTTGGCAGATCGATTGATGGCTAGTTAGGTAGAGTTTGAGGGCCAGCCAGAGGCAGAGGCAGAGGCAGCCAACGGTAACCGTTTTCTGCGGAAAGAATTGCAGGAGCCAGCGAGCGACCGGCTGTATCTCACGCATGGCTGCTCTTTGGCCACAGCAACAACCACTTCCAGCCCCCTTTTTCGGAACGGAACGGAGTGGCCGTGGCATGGTGGAGTGGAATGGTAGTTAACATTTGCCACAAATGGCGCGATGTAAAGGCATTTCTAATATGGGCACATTAATGACTAGAGCAGACACACAGGTGAGATGAGGGGTTGCTGAAATTCCATTGCCATTTGCAAAATTAACAACCATTATTGCTCTTTGTGTGCTTGTTCTTTATCGAGCTTCAATACCTGAGCAATTAGTGCGACATTTTGTGGCACAAGCAGAGGCAGCGGCAGAGGCAGAGTCAAAACCAGAAGCAGCTGTCCCTGTGCCTTCAGCAGCTGACAATCGGCACGGCACGGCACCCAGAGAGCTATCGGGAGAGGGGGGCACGGGCACAAGTAAGCGGTAAGTGAGTTCTTGCAAAATGACAGCTGACAATGGATGGGCCAACGCCACGTACTCCGCCTTCTGCTACTACTCATGCAATCAAAAAACAAAACAAAAAACACAAAGGAAAAATGCTGCAGTCAGCGTCGAGCCAGTCAGGCGTCGAGATTTTTATGAAATTATTGAACAAATTCAAGCGAAAAAAATATTAATTCGGATATGCTAGCGAAAAACGATAAAGTGCTGTGCACGCTGGAAAAAAATGCACACAGTAATGGAGAACAGAAATTTGGGTTCAAATAGTTTGACAGTCACTGCATAACCTGTTGCCATTGTGCCACACAAATCATTATTACGGGGGGTGGGAGAGAAAGAGTGGGGCACATAAATGGCCATTCGTGTTAGCCACAATTTAACACAAGGTCGCGAAAAACAATAAGCCAAACGACTCGAGACTGCTTATCTCTGTACTGCTTTACTCCGTACTGCTTTGCTTCGTACTGCTTTGCTCCGTACTGCTTTGCTCTTTTGTGTGCTCCGCTGTAATTGTAGTTGTTGGAGGTGCTCGAAGGAACTAATTGTGTGAACATCTCTAGCTACACCCACAAAGGGGGGAACAAAGCGGAGAAGGCGACAAAATAAACAAGGTGTTAATTTCTACATTTTCTCTGTGTTCCCGAGAGGCCTCTATTAAAAGATACCCTTTAAGTGGAAGGGGTATATAAGGGGTAAGCCTGCGTAGAGAAGTGCTGCCTTCAAATATATACTGAATTTAGGTAATTGAATTTGATATTGAAGAATGAAATTTAGCTATTGGAAGTGTATTTAAAGATTTAATTATTTTCATTGCTGAACTCAATGTACCCATTACAATGTTTATCCTGTAGGGTATGTAAAGCTTCGCCTTAGTCTCATCTCAGGCTGTGCCTGTTTGTGTTTTCTGTTTTTCTTGCGTCCTCTTTGTGCCTGTGTGAAAATTGAATTCGCGACTGAGTTTTTGCGAAAGCAGATAAGATTTCAGCACGTTTCATGCTACCGCCGCCTGTCCGAGCCACCCACACACAGAAACAGCAGCACCGCCGCGCATACAGAGCAGTGCGAGAGGTGGGAGACGGACAGAGAAGAGAGAAGATGACAAAAGATAAGCACGCCTTTGATAACGCACTTGACTTTGCCGTTCCCCCACTCATTCGCCTTTGCAATGAATGGTGAATGGGCATGTGGACAGTATTCATATTCATAATTGTGTTCATTTAATTAAAGGGAACACTTTGAGGCTGGGTGTGGCAGCATATTCAGAGATACTTACGAACTGTGACCATTTTCGGATCGTAGGCACACACGCGCCGCTCCACGGCTGCTATCTTGCGCTGGACTCGTCCGGCCCGCTCGCCTACCGACTGCAGGTCCCGCTGCAGGTCGTCGAAGATGTCGCTGGCGATGAGCACCAGGCTGGCCAGCTGCCGCAGGGCATTGCTCAGGGTGATGTTGCTGATGGAGTCAAACTCGTGGCCGGAGACGACCTTCGAGGAGCCGGCGGTGGGCGAATGGGGGGCGCTGGCATTCCGCGCCATTGCCGGACGCTGCTGGCTGGGGTGCCGCGAATTGGGCAGCGACTGGGAGGCACGCCCAGGGCCGTGCGTCGGCGACGTTGAGAGGAATTCCACGTGCTGCTTAAGCTTCTTCATGGGCAGGGCTGCCGGTGGGTGGGGCTGGCCGGCGCCGTCCTCACCATCTCCGTTCACGTGCACCAGCACTCGGGTGAGCGAGGGCGAGGTGGGGGAGGTGGCCCGGCAGTCGACGGCATCCGTTCCCGCCTCTGGCGACTGCTTGTTGATGCAGTTGTTGTTTTTGCACTTGCCGGGCGCACAGTGGAAGCGTGTGGAGGCATGCCCAAGGCTGGCGGCAGTGGCCTGGGCCACATTCACGGGTTGCACCACGCGCTGTACGAATGGCATCTCTTGGCTGCGCTGCTGCTTCACTAGCTGCTGCTGCTCCTTCTCCTCATTGACTTGGGGCACTGGTCACGTACGGATCGGACACTAGATTCATACCACAAACACACACACTAGCCCTGCGTCTGCCTTTCAGCCAAAAAAACAAAAAGAGAGGCGCACTAACACACACACACAGGCAGATAGCACGGAAACTGGTCAAACAACTTCTGGGCTTGAATCCTCCGCAGCTTCTCCAGTGGTCTGCTCCTATACCTATTGTTGTCTGTTTTCGGCTCTCGGCCGCCGCATAAATTCCTTTGCTGTTGGCCGTTTTCTGTGTGTTTGCTGCACACGCACACAAACTAGTTGGTCGCTTGGGGCGACGCTGCCGCTGACTGGCACTGGTTTAATTGAAAGCAAGCCGGTACCGGCGTTTGAGGCAACACTGTGAACTGGTTTATGCTCTGCACTTTACATCGCATTATGCATTAACGTGGCCTAAACTCAACTGAACTGAACCGACACGACCCGACAACAAAACCAACAACCAACCAATTTACACGCCGTACACGATTTTGTAATAATTACGCTTTTATGGCTCTACTCTTTTATTGCCGGTACGTACGCGTGTTTGCCCGCTCATTCGCAACTTTCAAAAGGTGTGGACGAAATCAAGACCGATAACAATCCGCGCGCACGTCTTGCTCGTTCGCCGGTCAAAATTTAGTGATGAGGCCGGCTGGCGATAGAGCTGCACGATTCTCGATACTACATATTATCGACTGCCGAAACTGGTCACTATCGATAAGAGACACAGCTGCTCAAAGGAACCAAATAAAATATTGTAGTCTAGTAGGAAAAACATCAATTACGCCGTTATTCAATATATGCTACTATCGATACTATCAAATTATTAATCAATTTTAAATATTTCGAGCTTCCTAAATTTACTACCAAAAATTTCTTTAATTGTCAAATCTGAATGACAGATTAAACGAATTTGAAATTATTAAAATATGAAATAAAACGATCTTGATATCGAAGTTTCAGCAATATTTGTTTTATCGATAACTTACTTTGACAGCCCTGACCGAACACGGGCACACTTAAAAAAATTACAAATAAATAAAGCGAAAATATTGAACTTTTGTATAAAATAGAATAAATCAAAGAACAATTTAGTTTTTAGATAAATCAGCAGCATGCCCAAGTACTACTGTGACTATTGTGACACCTACCTGACGCACGATTCGCCCTCGGTGAGAAAAACACACTGCACGGGCCGCAAGCATCGCGACAATGTGAAGTTCTACTACCAGAAGTGGATGGAGGAGCAGGCGCAGCATCTCATTGATGCCACCACGGCGGCATTTAAGGCAGGTAAAATAACAAACAATCCGTTTGCTGGCGGACCCTCATCGGCGCCGCCCAAGCCATCTGGCGTGTCCATACCACCGCCCAATATGGGTGCACCGCCGCGTCCGGGCATGCCCGGCATGCCGTTTATGCCGCCCATGATGAATCCCATGATGACGGGAATGCGTCCACCGCCCATAATGAATCCGATGGCAATGATGGGGCCTCCACCGCCACTTGGCACCATCCCGGGTGTCCGTCCGCCCATCATGAATGGACCAAAGTGACAAAAACGCGACCCGCCAGAGAACAATCACAACATCGGCACTAATTAAGAGTTAGAGCATAAGTAAACTCAAATTCAATACATATTTAAATGTACTTTTATATACACACAAAGCAAATATAAATCGTAAAATTTTGCAACCAAACCAAATCAAAGAGTTTTTAATTAGACATTAATACGCAGACATTTACGCTTTTATTACAATTTTTGAACTTATTTGCTACATTAAGAGGATTAGAATATAATGCGATTATAATTGTTAAAGTATCTACACCATAGGATTGAAGTGTTCTAGTAGGATAAGCTGATACATTTGCACTGGCTCCGATTGTGTGCGGCCCAGCGGGAATGAGAGCGCAACAACCTCGTCAATTACTACATAAAATTAGGTACTAGTGCTACAAATGTTTGCCGGAACAAATGATATTAGTTATCTGGACATTCTTTGGCGTTTGCTGGGCGAGACCAGCACCTGCGACGGCTGATGCGTGCCTGAGATGGCATCGAATATGCTCGTCTCCGAGCGCTGGTACTCGCTGCCAATGTTATCCAGATTCAAGTCGGCGTCCAGCACCAACACCTGAAACAAACACAAAAAAATGGCTTCATTTAGGCATCTCTGGAAACGATCGAGCGACTCACCTTGCAGGCCTGCGTTCTGCGGTGATGTATGAGCCAATCCTCGTGCAGTTCGTGCAGCTCCTGGAGATACTTCAGGGGCACACAGCTCTCCTCGGAGCGAGCGCGTTGCCTGATGCGTTCGTGCGCCACTTCCGGGGATGTTCGCAGGTAGATGATGAGATCCGCCTGCACGTGGATGGACTCTTCGATGAACTTGTACCATTCCTGCAGCGTGTTGTACATGCCCGCCTCCAGCGAACCATTGCGATGCATATTCTCCACAAAGCAGTACCTAAGCGAGAAGGTTCAAACCGGATCTGCAGCGTGGGGAGCGCGGGTGCGGGTGTGAGGACTTACCGGGAGCTAAAAATGGAGCGCTCCATTATTTTTAGCTTCTTGTCGGTGGGCGCTGTGTGCGCCTGCAGCATGGTCAGCGTGACATAAGACTGAAAGGGCATTGCCCACTTCTTGGGCTCCTTGTACATCAGTTCCAGCAGATTGACGCCGTTCACGTTGCGCCACTTCTCCACGGGCTCCGTGAGCAGGCAGATGTCGTCCTTGTACTTCTCAAAGTGGTTCAGATAAGTGGTCTTGCCGCTGCCGATGTTACCCTCGATGAGGACCGTGAAGGGCTGCGTGCCCTCGGCAAACTTCTTGCCCAGCCTGGCGCTGGCTGCTGCTGTGGACATCAGGACAGATAGGCTGCGATCTACTCCGGAAAAACAGGGGGGGAGTGAGTTATCTATTGTGATGCTGGTAATTTGTGTTGCGGTGGCAGTGGCCAGATCACGTTTCGCGTCAAGAAAGAGCACTGTACTGTGTGGCTGCTCGGAAAAAACTAACCACCAACGATCGTCTTTTGCCGCCGAAATGCCAAAAGGGCGGGAAAGTAGCCATTTGATATGTTTACCAAATTATGAACAGCTGCTGGCTTGGAGTGGAGTGAGGGCAAGAGTTGCTTCGGATCAAAGTCAAAATAAAGTGGAAACTAATTAGATGCACTTTTAATGAATTACCAATAAAACGTATTATTCCCATTTATTTTAATGCGCGCTTAAGAGGGAATTCCAATGAAGTTCAGATGATCTCCCACATTCGATGAAAGAATATAGAAGTATCTATATAATGCAGATACTCAAATGCAAACAGTTTGAAGCAAAACTCGCGGGTTTCTTGATGGAACACGGTTTTAATTTCACAATAAATACATTTTTGCTCTTTTTATAAACAAGCAGCTGGTTGGTCGATAGTCGCGTGCTAAGAACTATTGCCTTCAAATACCGATTACTTACAGCTGTTGCCGGCAAGGCTATCGACGGCAGTGCCATCTCCAAGACGCATTTTTATCAATATTTTCAGAAATTTGTAAATAAAACAAACGAACAGATTTTAAACGGACTCCTTTCGTCTGACACTTCCCCAGCATGTCTATTGAAATCGAATCAGCCGAGTGAGTACATAAACATTGCCCCATCATGTCTTGCATGCGTAATTTGCCTTACCACCCACTGCACACAGCGTGATTCGGCTCATCCAGCAGTACCTGAAGGAGTCCAATCTTATGAAGACGCTGCAGACCCTGCAGGTAAGTCCAACTACCCACCTCAACCAAAATTGTTGCAACGAAGTTTTGGTGTGACAGGAGGAAACCGGGGTCTCCCTTAACACAGTGGACAGCGTGGATGGCTTTGTCCAGGACATATCCAATGGTCACTGGGACACGGTGCTGAAGGTGACGCAATCGTTGAAGCTGCCCGACAAGAAACTGCTCAATCTATATGAGCAAATCGTGCTGGAGTTGATAGAACTGCGGGAGCTGGGCGCCGCCCGCTCCTTGTTGCGGCAAACGGATCCCATGAGCATGTTGAAGCAGCAAGAGCCCGAGCGGTACATTCATTTGGGTATTGTATTTAATTTTGTGTTGATCGGACAAACGTCTAAGGGCGAATCTTTTGCAGAAAACATGTTGCAGCGTGCATACTTCGATCCCCGTGAGGCATATGCGGAAGGCAGCAGCAAGGAGAAGCGACGCACTGCCATCTCCCAGGAGCTGAGCGGTGAGGTGCATGTGGTGCCATCATCCAGACTCCTGGCCTTGCTGGGCCAAGCCCTGAAATGGCAACAGCACCAGGGACTCCTTCCACCCGGCACCACAATCGATTTGTTCCGCGGCAAGGCGGCAATGAAAGATCAGGAGGAGGAAATGTATCCCACACAGCTGTTCCGGCAGATCAAGTTCGGTCAAAAGTCGCACGTAGAGTGTGCGCAGTTCTCGCCCGATGGCCAGTACCTGATAACTGGCAGTGTGGACGGTTTCCTGGAGGTGTGGAACTTCACCACCGGCAAAGTGCGAAAGGATTTGAAGTACCAGGCACAGGATCAGTTCATGATGATGGAGCAGGCTGTTCTGGCTCTGAACTTCTCGCGCGACTCGGAAATGGTGGCCTCGGGTGCCCAGGATGGCCAGATCAAGGTGTGGCGCATCATTACCGGCCAATGTCTGCGCAAGTTTGAGAAGGCCCACACCAAGGGCATCACCTGCCTGCAGTTCTCCCGCGACAACAGCCAAGTGCTGAGTGCCTCCTTTGACTACACGGTACGACTGCACGGCCTGAAGTCGGGCAAGATGCTCAAGGAGTTCAAGGGCCACTCATCCTTTGTCAACGAGGCCACATTCACTCCCGACGGCCACAGCGTACTCAGCGCTTCCTCCGATGGCACCGTCAAGGTGTGGTCCCTCAAAACCACAGAGTGCGTCGCTACCTACAAGCCGCTGGGCAATGAGCTGGCGGTCAACACTGTCCTCATCCTGCCCAAGAACCCCGAGCACTTTATAGTCTGCAACAGATCCAACACGGTGGTCATCATGAACATGCAGGGCCAAATTGTGCGATCGTTCTCGTCGGGTAAGCGCGAGGGTGGCGCCTTCATCTCGGCCACGCTTTCGCCGCGCGGCGAGTTCATCTACTGTGCTGGCGAGGATCAGGTGCTATACTGTTTCTCCGTCTCATCCGGCAAACTGGAGCGTACACTGAACGTGAGTTTTTACTGCCATTAAACTCATTTTAGGTCTGTGGTAATTACATTCATTATTCTCTTACAGGTTCACGAAAAAGATGTCATTGGCCTGTCGCATCATCCGCATCAGAATCTACTGGCCAGCTACAGCGAGGATGGACTGCTGAAGCTGTGGAAGCCATAGATGATCTGAGCCTTTGCCCTTCTTGACTTTCTTTCGTATCTAGTTTTAGTTCCAAAATACACCTACTGCCCCCGATTACTATTACTTTAATTTTCGAGGTGTTTTCTTGGATTTATCTCTTGCCCCCACATCAATATCTTCAATCATGTCTCTATATGCAACAAATTGACTTTAATTAAGCATTATGCAAAGCGACAACGACCAGGGCCCTAATCCGCAGAGCACAGAGTTTGCCTCAATTGATGGCTCAGCGCTTAAATTAGTCGAGCAGCCACACTCAAGGGGTTCACTTGCAGTCAGCATGAAGAGCGACCAGATCATTGATAAAATACGCAACAAGCTGAAGGAATCGGATCCTGGACGGCGTACTGTAGTCAACACGTTTCAGTTCAACTTCACCGATGCCGACGGAAAGCTCATCAAGAGCATGGGTGAGTGAGTGCCGGGCCATTGGTCTGACCAACGTTGACCGTCTCACTGTAGTCTTTGATTTCAAAGCCCTGAACATCTATGAGGGCAGTGCGGACAGTGCCGATGGACAGGTTACCATATCCGATGAGGATTTCTATCTGGTTGGCACCAAACAGAAGACTTTCCAGGAGATTCTACAGCAGGACAAGGCCACCATCGAGGGCGATGAGCAGGCAATCAATAAAATGTTGGAGAAATTTCGCATAAATTCACAGAATTGATTGGCCCAGATGCCATCTAATATCATGTATTTAATCGAATTACTACTTACCAAAATAAACTTTTTCTAATGTGAATATTTAAGTGGATTTATGGCCTTTCGGTGGAAAGACGCCCACCCATCTGGGAGCATTCTTCCCACGCTAAAATACTCATGAGAAATGATTGAAAAATTGCTTAAGCCTTTTGAAATTCAATTGGTTTTATTATTCATTTATTTAATTACCTTTATTTATATTTAATGTTAACATGGAATTGTTTTTGTAGGTGTTTCCCTTTTAATTTGAAATTTTTGGTTTCTTTGGCGTATTATTATTATTTTCAACTATTTGTTTGTCATTTGGCAAGACGCAACGTTTGGTGCCAATGGGTGCGCCTGAGATTCTGAATTTGATTTCTGACTGCTGTTTGTGGTCTCGTCTCGGATTCGGATTTGAATATTTGTTTTGGACTCGTCTGTGTGTTGCCTGCCTGTGGCTTACTTTTAGGTTTAATTGTAAATTTAACATTTGCTCTTTTTGGGGTGTTTTAATTTAACTTTTTGTGTTACATTACTTTAGTAAACGTTTTTTTTTATTTTAAAACATCTTTTTCTTGGGGGTAGGGGTTTCTCTTGGGGCTTGCTCGTTCGAACATTTTGTTTGGCATTTCATTACTTTTCTGCTTTAGTACTATTTCCTTTTAAATTTATTTTTAATTTGTTAATTTTTATTGCTAAAACACAAATTCCGATTTTGTTTATTAACTAATTGAATTGTTGGTTTCCGGGGTTCTTCCTCCTTTTTCTTATATTTGGTTTTATGCAATACAACAACAAAATTTGTACACTTAAACTAAAGTTTTTTTTATATGAATTATTTCTTAGGATTTACTTGATCATTATGCTTTTTTAATGCAACAATTTAACAACGTTTTACTTCATCAATGTAATTGTATTTACTTTCTGTTTTACTCATTAATTATTTATTTTTCATTTTTGTTTTATTTTTATTAATTTAGCATTTGTAACACCTACATACGTTTATTATAAATGGTTTTTACGTTAAACGGTTTTAAGTTTCCTTCGCTGATTTAAGCCATTTTCATTAATTTCGAAAGTTTTCTGTTTTCTGTTTTCTGTTGCAAAACGTACGTGCGCTATGAAACCAATACTTATTTTTTTACTTTACGAAACATTAGGGAATTTACTATCGATTGAGAGAGCTCCAAAACGGAGGAAACTGACTGAACAAAACCGTACAAAATATACATACACTGAAATAATTACAATACAATAAAATATAACACTATAATAGAATAATAATAATAGTTGATGTAAACGTTTGCCTAATCTGGATTTGGCACAAAAGGAAATTAAATTTGAAATTGATTCCTCGAGTTTGGATTTGTGTTTAGTTAATTTTTGTTTAGCTTCTTGTATAATTTATTTTATTATTATCGTTCCCTTTAGCGTATACATTTTTATAAATATTTTGTTCGCCTTAAATGTTTATAAAAATGTGCTTAAATAGACAAAAATCTTTTTCCCGAATTTATCCCGTTTTCCCAACCCATTTCCATTCCGCTTCTCCGTTCGTTTCTCGAATCCATTTACCATTTTTTTGGGGCCGCTAATTAATGTTTTTATTTAATTTGCTTCGCTTATAAACTCCTCGATCTAGCTTTATTTAACTCTGCGCTTTTATTCTTTGCTGGAAGATACAGTTTTGATAGTCACTAATTCTTTTTTTATTTATGCATTTTTCGCTCGTCTCTTGCCACTGCGGTTTTTGTTTCTTTGTTTCATTGTTTTGTATGTTTGTTTGATTTGTGTGTAGCCTTCAAGTGTCGAAGCTTTGTTGTACGTACAAAATGTGTAAATAAGGAGTCATGTCATGCGCATATGTTTAGGTAGTTAATTATTATTGTTTTATGCCCTTTAGTGTGTGTTTTGCTGCTGCCTCTATTCTGTATTGGTTTATCTATCGGTTCGCGAGAATGTGTATTCATTTATTTTGCGCCTACGCTCCATCGTCTCGCATTTGTTGTATAATTAATTCAATTTATGCTTTACCTAAATATTACTCGTATCAAATATAAAAATCAACAACTTTATTTTTATTTATTTTTTGGTTTTTGTTTTGGTTTCCCCTTGTCTGCGGTCTCTTGTGGCTATGAAAATGATCGTACTTCCGGCACTTCCTCTAATTCCCGCTTTTTACACTCCTACTGTCCGTCTCCTCCGCTCTTTCACATTCTCCTGCCATACGTATTTCGCTATGTGTATGTATAATATAGTATATTTAAATGTAGCTATTATTTGTTTGTTACTTCCTTCCCTCCCATCCTTCGTTTTACTTTCTGCTATTGAAACGCGCCCGGCTAATCTCTTGTTAATCGCAACTACAACATTTTCGCACTACTTTTTTTTTCTTCACCATCCTCTAATTTCTACTACTCCTTCGCGCTTGGCTTGCTCATTAAATTTATGTCTTAATCAATTCGCATTTTTGCATAATTTCTTGTCTTTTAGGTATTGTTAACTTTTGAATTACTGTTTCTGTTTCTGTTTATGTTTTCTGTTCTCTGTTCTGTCCAGTTATCGTTTATCTTGTCCACGTGTCCGTGTGTACGTATGTTTCTCTGTGTATCTGCGTACCAGTGTATGCACTATATGTACGTAAAACTACTTCACTTGCTCTGCAAAGTTGCTCTTATGTTCGCCATTTACCTAGTTAGCCTTAGTCTAAATGCGTCTTAAAACCGAAACTGAAAGTCACGATAAAAATGCCTAAAAATGCTCTAAACCATCGTTAAACGTTCGCCATTTGGTTGACATGATCAATGTTGTCCTCATCGAAATGCACATCGTTGATGAAGATGTCCGCAACCAGATCGTCCTCGTCCAAGTCCATATCATCATCGTCGTCATCCTCCCCGTTGGACATCAGGCCGTGTCCCATGTCCACACCGGCAATGCATATGTGTGGCGGCGGTGGCACACTCGTCGGTGGCAATGGGGCGGGTGGTATGATCAGATTACCGCTATTGATGCCATGCAAACTGCCCGCTATGCTAGCCCCGCCACTCTGCAAATGCCTCCGACTGGAGCTGAGACCCGCTGGAAAGCCAAAATGGGAAAGTTTTAGTCGAGGAAAATAATAAGGAAAGAGGTTTTCAAATCAACCAAATTACCTGGAAACTAAAAATACTATAAAGAAAAACCAAAATCAAAGAAAACCTTAGAAGAGCATAATAATCAAACAAAATATAAGGGTTAGTCCCTGCGAAAGGGATTCTCGCACCACTCCCACTCGGCTTACCCGTTGCACTGGTCTGTGAGTCGTAGTGCGCATTCCGATGTAGTCCTAATTGGCGCACATGGTTCCTACGGTTTCTTCTGGAGTGACAGAGTGTGCATAGGAGACAGATTAGGGACAAGACGACGATTAGTGTTATTATAATTAGAACGTCGTGATCCGCCTCGGCCGCTTCCGTGGTACCTGTTAAGGTGGGGTTGGGATAGAGCAAGAGCATAGAAAAGATCATTTGTTAGTCCATATAAGGGAATACTTTAATAATTTAATATTAATATTAATATTAATATTAGTTATGTGTGTGTGTTTGTGTGGATTTCTAGTTAGAGGAGAAGTTGTGTGTGTGTGTTTCATGTGGTTTGTGACTCTGAACTTGATGTTCTTGTTCTGTTGTGGATGTGTCTGTGTGCCTGTGCAGTGGATTCGGATTCCTTTAGATTTAGGATTAGGTTAGACAGTTCAGTTTATCATAATTAGGCACCAGGAAGATATATTTATATACACATACTTCTGTGTTATGCAGTGCGGTATTGAGCGGAAAGGTGCAGAACATAAAGAAGCCAGAACAAAAGAGGGAAAACCACATGCGGTGAACAGAACAAAAACTCGGAGCAAATCAAACACTCTCACAATGCGATCGAAATGGTAAATGAAAGATGCAACAAAAGGGAAAACTTCGGATGATCTCGGCTGTAGACAATCTACCAGGGTTGGGGCTGGCGTCTTTGGTAAAAGTTGTAAGGGTAGTTCTAGTGAAACTTTACTTGGATTGAATATTGTGCATGTCATGAGCGTGGGCTTTGTGGGCGTGTCGTGGATTTGAACGTGGACGTGTTTAACGATTGATTGGTTTGGTAGACAAGCTTATGCAGAACTCACGTGTTAAATGTGACCAGAGATAGAGACAGAGTATTTCTTTTTTTTTATAGCTTAGGTATTAGTTTGGAGTTAATATTTGGTTTTGGTTCGCCTCGTTTGTTATTTGGAAAAAAATGAGTAAAAATTCTTGCTAGCAGAATGTTTCTTCTTTTCTTTATAATAATTTTTTGATTTTCGTGGCACTTGCAATTCCGAATTGAAAATTTTGATTTTCTTACTGATTCTCAGGTTTTATTTTGTTTAGTTGTACGTATTAAACACTAATGCCATAATTGCTAAAACAAGTGTCTGTAGAAATGTGGGCAGATGCGTGGAATTGGCGTCACCTGTGTCACCAAAGGGTTAGGTTGTGGGGGTTTCGATTTCAAATTTACGTACAGATGTTTACATATTTTTTGTTATTGGTAGACAAAAGAAAGAACAGAGAGAAATATAGGTAGAATTAGACATGTAGAGGAGAAAGAGATAGAGAGAGAGAAAGAGAGTGAGAGTTTTAGTGTGGGCGTGGCTTTAGAAATTTGCAGCGACTGAAAGTGTTGGATGCCATACGAGTGGGTTTTTTGCGGTGTGTGTTCGAGTGTGTGAATACTGCTAGCAAGTGGAAGAGATATTGAATTATATATTGAGTAGAGTATGGAGAGAGAGAGAGAGAGTGTAAGATGTATGCATGGCTTAATGGCTGGGTCAGAGGATCGTGGAGCACCCTAAACTAACCAGGAAGTATGTACAAAAGTCTGGCCATTGAAATGAAATAAAACATAAAAACAGCTACTTAAAATTTACGAGTACTTATGTAGGTGCAAATGTTTATACTTAGAGAGAGTTAGAGAGAGAGAGAGAGAGAGAAGATTGATTTGGCCTCGATATTGTATGTATTTTTAGTTGGTATTTTTTTTAAGTTAGTATATGGATTATCAAGTAGTTTTTTAGTGATTAACGTTTTTGCAAGTGTTTCGTCGGGTTCAAGTTTTCATTGCTTATCAAAACGAAAACATAAACTTTAATGGAAAATATATTATACACAAGAATGTTGCTCAAGGACCCATTCCAGTCCAGCAGTCCATGAGCGGGCAAAAATCAAACCAAAAACCAAAAACGAAATGAAACGAGTTACAATTATTTGTCCCCATGGACACTGGGGAAACACAAACACGAAATAAAATCGAGAACGGAAACGTAAACGTAAACCTAGTCAAAGGAGGCAAATAAAAATTGAACTGAACCGTTCGACTCACTCACGACTCACAGTGCAATTCGTCACTATCGTCGCCGGGACCGCAGTTCTTGACACCGTCACACCGCAGCTTGTCCGAGATGCAGTAGCCGGCGCCGCACTGAAAGTGGTACGTGGACTCGCAGTGCAGGCCCACAGATGGCGGACCCGGACCCGAGTCCTGTATCTCAGTCCACACAATGCGAAAGCCCTAAACAAATTGAGTAGAATGTCAGTTTGGATTCCTATTTGTATTCAAGTTTCCATGGCTCACCTGTGCACCTACGGTCTTGTCGCTGGTGGTGAAACTGATGCGCGCCGTCTGGCCCGTGGAGGTGTAGTGCCAGTACTCGATGGGCGGCTTCTCGCCGCACAGCTCCATCGGCGGTTGGTCAGAGTCCACATTCATCCACAGTCTCAGCACAGCTGCAGGACAGCCGCGATCTGAAAGTAAAACAGTTGTAGAAACGTATACGGCATGGATTGAATTGTAAACTCACTTGCTGGATCTCCTTCGAGACCGAACTGCTCAAAGTGAATGGACAACTTGTAGCCGGGTCGAGCGGTCATCACCCAATTGCAGGCATTGGAGGCCAGGCCACGACCAGGCGCCTTGTAGCCCGCCGGCCAGTTGGGGGAGGTGATGATGCCCGAGTCCTCATTGCTGAAGTTGCCGCCGCAGTCCCCGGCATCCGATTTGGCCGACTCGAAGAAGTAGCGCGCCTTGAAGCCACTGGCCACACTCTCCTGGTCGGTGTGCAGCGTAATGCGCAGCCCCACAGCGCCGCGGGGGCTCTCGACGGGTCCGGGTGCTGTCAGGCCACAGTAGCGGCCCAGCAGGCGATCGTTGTTGTCCCGATAGACGACATACATCTCCAGCCAATCCTCAAAGCAGGCGCCCGAACTGCAAGGCAATCAGTGTTAGATTCAATTCCCAAAAGTGTACTCTGGAGGCTGCTTACCCATACGCTCCAGCCGTGGCATTTGCATTGTTGTCCGCCTTGATCTTGAAGTGATCGAACACAATCGTCACCTGCTCATTGGCCTCGGCCAGGAACAGATACGAGCAGTTCGTGTCCGAGGGATAGTTGGAGGGATATCGGGGACTGTTTAGCTCTCCGCGCTTCTTCGAGCTGCTCACGTACGTGAAGCTGCAGGTGCCATCCGGGGCCGCGGTGCCGGGTATCTTGTACTCCGTCTCGAAGGTGTACTTGCCCTTGAAGCCACGCCCCTGCAGCTCTCCCGAACTGAAGACCATGGCCAGGCGCGGCCCCTCGCTGATCACGCGCTGCGTCTCATTGCCACAAAGTTCATAGTCGAATTTGTCGTAGGCATCGGCAGTCTCCTGCCCCTTCAGATAGATCTTCAGATAGCCATCCGTGCAGTTGGATCTGTTTGGAAGATAGTTCATGGATTACTTATGCTTCCAGGTGTGTTTTTGCTTAGCTAAATGCTCTTACTCGCTCTTGTCTTTGTGGCTAACTTGTGGTATGTTGAAAGTGCTGGTAAACTCGAGGCGCACACGCTCCAGATGCTGTGCATCCTGCATGCCATAGATGAAATATCTAATCGATGATGAACCCCATTAAAAATGTAACTCTCCTTTTCCCCCATTCTGTTGATTACTCACCTACACACAGTTTTTGGTATATAGGGATAGGGATAGTTTGGGGAGAGCACAAAGCCGGTCGACTCCTTTTTCGATAAAATCTTTTGATCACATTCTGAGCCACGTATGTGAATGCCATCATTTTCACCTGATGTACAGTAGTAATTTGTTGTTGCATTTTACATTTTGGTAATTGTTTAGCAGTGTTTTTGAAAGAGCAGTCAGATCAGTTCAGATTATAGTAGAGCAGAGAGCAGAGTACATCAGATAGCGTAGAGGAGAGAGACAGAGATTCGTTTTGAAGTGGAGAGAGAAAGTTGTTGTGGAAGGTTAAAAATTTGTTCAGAGTTTTGTTGTTTCAATTGGTTTGGGAAATCAAAAGCAAACAAAAAATGCACCAAAAAGGAACAAAGCCAGGGTGGAAAGGGTGGTAACAAGCACATACAAATAGCTGTTAAATGCTCAGCTTTCTGGTAACCATTTTGTGGCGTGTGCGCCTAAAAGTATGCAGCACACACCCGGCTGACCGCACAAAATGGTTGCCAGTGGGGATTGTTTACAACTGAAATGATTGATAAAACAATTGCAGTTAGATGGGTAGCATGTAGTGGGTACTTACGTATAAAATCTAATTTAACAAAACCCTCGCTAAATTCATAAAATCCTTTAAAGCCACGATTCTGGGTATTTGCGGTGCGCGGTAACGTATAAAAATGAACAAAAAGGCTCGACTCGCTCGAATACAAAACTAAGTTTCTTTGCTGTCCGCAATATGTACCGATTAATGCTGACGAATTATCTGGGCCATCGTACACTTTCACATAGTCAAATGGGCAGCTGTTTTCATGTTGTTCGGGTTTTATTTTCAGGTAAATTTATAGGTGGATTGGATAGATAGAAAATTGGGTTTTGTTTAGAGATATTTTATAGTCGAATGAGAGTAAATTTGTGGATACAGATTACAGATTAAGAATGTTGGTATGTGTGTGTGTGTGTGTGGTGTGTGGCTGCCAATCAAAGCAAACTCTGAGAAGAACTTGCTTTGATCTTGACTTGTTAGCGGGTGGTGGTGGGATGGTGTCTGTCATTAGAGGTACTCACTGTGGTCCACCAAAAAATAGATCAAAATCACGAAACTCTAATCTAACTCTCTGATTCGATTCACCAAGAAACTGATATGTGCACGACATATCCTTCGGATAGGCACCTGGATAGGTTGGCGATATGAGCGTACCGGTCTTATTCACACTCATGCTCGGCGTTATCGTGTAGGAACATGGCGATCCCGCAATGGGTATGCCAATTTCATATTCCGCTTTTATCAAGGAATAATCACAATAAGTTTAGTTATTTATCAGCCTTTAGTTGAGCATCACTTGAGTGACTACTTACATGCATTTATAAACCTAAACGTGCCCTCGAACAGGTCGGTGGACACGTTCTTGTTGCTAAAAAATGAAATGACAACGGCTCGGTACATGGAAATGCGACGACGCGGCGGTATGGAGCCACAATACCGACCACCGAATGGTGAATTGATAAGCTCCGCAGGCTCTGACGATTGCACCTCCGAGTAAATATCCATGTACTCATGAACACAGCTGGAAGTAGAGAAAAACAAAAGGTTATTTTTGTTTTAGTTGATTGATAATTGTCTAGGACTTACCTTGGTAATTCACCGACGGCCGAACCGCTGCAGAAATTGAATTAAATATTAAATATTTAATAAGAATTTACAACTATTATTGTTAACTTACTCTGGTGGACTTCCTCTTAAACTAAACGATTTAAAAACTACTTCGACACGCTGGCCAGGTCCTGCTAGGAAAGTGTAGAGGCATTGGCGCGAATGATTGCGATGATTGTGCAGCAGCGGGGCCGAGAAGGTGCCATTCTGAGGCCCACCAATCCGCGACACAAATGTCTGATCACACTCTGCAGAAAGAGAGAGCGTGAAAGAGAGAGAGAGAGAGAGAACAAACGGCAAAGTTTGCAGGCGGTTGGGCCATTGATAAGTCGTTTTATTTTAAGGATTCTGTTGCTAAGTGGTTAGACATAGACACGCACGCACACAGAGCAATGCAAAACACATACACATATACAGAACGAAGCGGCAGAACAACATACGAGCATCTCAGTGTGTAGCTTTGTGTGTGTGTGTGTGTGTCTGTATCTGTGTGTGTGTTTTTGCAATTTACAACTAGCAAGCGATTGGGTGGGGTTTGGATGGGAGGTTTTGTCAACTAAGATAACTTTCAACTACTGGGATAGACACTAAAATGTAACTGCTAACTACTGGCACAGACACACACGCACAACCCAACATACACACACACACACGTACAGGAACACACACAAAGATACACATCGAGAGCAAGAGAGTGTGTGAGAGACAGAGAGAGAGAGCGTGAGTGAGAGAGAGACAGTGAGAGACAAGACGCCACCTACTTGGCGATTTCGTGGGTCGCGACGACACCTCCAAATATGCCACCACGGGCTGCATCCAAGGCTCGCCATCACCGCCAGACGATGGCTCTAAATGAGCAATGCCTGCCCCTGCAGGGGAGTAGTTGGGTAGTCAAGTGGTGGGTGGATTGGTGGGTGGTGTGTGGCAGGTGGGAGACAAATATACATACACAATGTTAATGATTTCGATTTGCATGACAATTGCGCTGAATTATGATTTACTAGGGGACTGTGTAACATGGAAATGCGCTTCTCGACTCTATGACAAGCTGTCTTAATGCTCGTTTATTTTGTCTCCCACTACTGTAGCTCCCATCAAATAAGTTTGGTTGTGGCTGTGGCTAACATGTTATTATCAACTTTGATAATGCAACTTAAAAAGGAAATCCATGTACTCTCCACAGGCGCAAGCCAGAGTGAGAAAGAGAGAGCGGGTGGGTGTGTACCTAAGCCAGCGGAAATTATTCAGAGCTTTTCCTGCATACAGACTATGAAATCCCCTGCCAAAACTTTCCGCCTTAAAGCCTTAGCCTTCCTTCAGATTTCAGCGTTCTTTATGGACTACATTTTGATGGACATCGAATGTAATTGCTATGAAATGTTCTACGCTTCTGGCAGAACATTTACCAATGCTTTGCGGGCACTCCCTTCCAATTAAATTAAATTCAGTTTGGAGCACATAATAAATGAGCGCATCGGGTTTTATTCTGGCTTTTGTGGCTGCCCGGATGGTGCCCCTGCTGCGCCACGTTGCAGTTGCGGTTGTCTAACATTTGTAGTTTCTTTTTGTGGTGAAAATCAAATTTGGCAGAGTGGTAAATGGAAACTATTGACACACAATTCCCACATAATTCTCGTCTTTATGCTTCCCAATGGCAATCCGTTTAGGCTAGCGAGCTCCGATGGCATTTGTTTTGTGGCTGGATCATAAATATGCCCAGAATGCACCGAATATTCTGCAGTTGCTAACATCCCAACAGCTGTTCGGTTGTCACGGTGCCAGCGATCTAGTTGATAATCCCTCTAGCCATAACTCTTTAATTTAATTATGTGAGAGGACGTTTTGTGTGGAATGCAGTTTGAAAAACAGCAAAATAAATGGCGTTCCGTGTAAAAGTTTGCTCATTAAAATGAGAGCGGATTTGTGTGGCAAACACAAACACACATGCACAGTAACTACACGCAAACACACACACACACATGGAAGGATTCGAGTGTGGGTGGGTCTCGCGTTGCGTGCAGCGCCCCAAGGCCTGCGTACAGCAGCAAAAGCAGCACTCTGGGCGGAGCCAGGGCGGTAACAATGACAACCGCAGCAGCCCAGAATGCTGGTAACCGGAAACTGGCAGAGCCAAATCCCAAAGACCGCCCCCACCGCCCCTCCGTCGAATGACAATGCGCAGTAAAGTGTCAATAAATTTTATGCAGACGCCATTTGCATTCAGTCATAAATATTTTTGTTGTGTTCCGCCACGCTCGGCCGTGTTGTCCTCCGGTGTGGCATTTGTATTCTTGTTCAACTGCCACCCCACAACATCCCACCCCAACACGCCATCCCCTGTCATTATGTTAATTTACACCTTTTGTGTGTGCCACTGGCCAGGACGCGGTTGCCATGCCGAGCAGCAGAACAATGCATAAAAACTGCAACCAGATTTTAATTGCGTATTGTAAAAACAAACTGAGAAGCTGCCAAATGGCGGCAGCACTTTCCTCGTTTCAATTGTGTTCTGCTAAATGTATTTATCGCCAGACTAAGCAGCTGTAATCGGCACGTGAGGGAAGGGAAGATCATTCTGAATGGAGCTGAGGTTTGGGTGCAGCCACAACTTTGGTGTGTAGCACAAATTGCGCCCAAAGGATGCGTGCCACAAAACGTCGGGAGACCGAGACACAAGCGCATAATAATGGCCATGACGAAGATGTTATACAGCCCAGAGGGTTTGTGTGTCTCCACAATTCCCAAAACTTTCCCACACATGTGCTGTCAGGCGACAAAGCTACAGCGAAGAGATTTCTCAATAATTCTCTGGAATTTCAACATCATTTTAACCATTTAGATGAAGAGTTATCTTCTAAGCAGCAGAATTATTTAACGATTGGACCTTAACCGTAACTGGAATTCATAATTAGCATTCTGATGATTCCCCCTGCCCATAATTAATGGCAATTTCTGTTTTCACGTTGTCGGAATATCAGCTAAACTTTGCTCCAACAAAACTTGAACTCTTTTGCGAGTAAATCAACTTTTTCGTTGCTGTTGGAGGAAACTTTTGCAAACAATGGAGCGCAGCTTTAAGCCAACTAAAATCAAGAGTTTGCTCCGATTTAAAGTTTTGCCCATTGCGAATTTTGTTGAACAGAGTTTGGGGGGATGCTGAAATCACTTTCTTTTCTTTTGCTGCTGCTTTGCATTCAGAGGTGACACTTTTGTCGCCTTTTGCACATATAATCTTTAGTGGGTCTGTCTGTCTACGGCAGGCTCTACTTAGGCCTCCATTCTCCACTCCAGGGCTGTCTCTGTCTCCCCCAGAAAGTGTCTGCCTGCGTTTCCTGCTCGAGTGCACACTTCTTGAAAATTTAATGGCTGCCACTGCTGTTGGCACTTACACGGTTGCCCGCTGAGCCTGCCTGTCCGTGCTCTCCCTCATGCTCAAACCGCAGGCCCCCAATTTCCACATTTCCATTCTCATTCCGCAGCCTCGGCATGCCTCCACCCCCGTCTGACACCACAGTCGAAGGGGCTCATGTTACAGACAATTTGCGTTAAGTTTACAAGCACAACCAGACCAGAACCACGAAACCCGCCCGAGATGATGGCACCAGCACCTTATGTTGTTTTATTTTGCGATGGCGTGCCGCTCCCAGGACGATGGCAACGGCAACGGCAACGGCAATAGCAATTAAAGTGGATTTTCATGAAAATGAGTTTTCCTAATAGTTTATTTTGGCCCAGGAATAAAATCATGGCGATAAAGTGCGTTGATTAAGCCAGAGGAGCTGAAGAGCAGACGGGGACAGGTGGGAAGTCAGGACGATGATGGGCTCTCACGACTAGGATAAGCATCTTCGACACAGCTGCCTGTCATGGTTTTGGCTTTGGTTTTGCCTCATAATTATGCATATTATGTTGCACGGGACCTGAGTGCATATTTGTGTTAGCTATCAGGTAAATTGTGTCTAATTTATTGCCAATTAAATGGGTGATTAAATTCGAGTGATTATGGCAAGGCTCGGCACTTTAATGGGGGGCCTTGGCGAATGGGTTTAATAATTAATTATAATTACGCATAAGCTCGAATAACTCGCGATTTTTAAGTGGATTTCAGTAAAGGGTAACATGGTAAAGGATAAGTAGCCATATCTTAGGAGTTACTTTTGATATTCTTTATTTTATGTCACGCATAGGAATCAATTCTAGGGGCAATTGGGAATCCAACATTGGGCCAGCACTCGACGACCCGTACCTTAATATATAATTTGAAATCTTTTTGGCCTGCACTTGCCACTTGCACTATTTGTGAGTCTCTTTTGGGAATGAAATTTGATAACTGCCATTGGGTAAGGGGGGAGGAGCACTTCAACTAGGTCGAAGCAAACTTTTTGCCGATAAGTGGAAATACTCGTAATAATAATAATAAAATTGGCTCTGGAAACTACTCACGCTTTTGATTGGATCTTGCGTACGTACCTGCAACGAGAGAATGAACAGGGAAAGGCGTAAGTCAATATGAATTAATATGTAGTTAATATGTAGTATACATGTACACGTAAAAAATTTCAATGAAAGTTAATGAAAGTACTTTCTGCTGCGTTGCAATACAAAGAGAGACGACAACTGGGGTCAATAAGGCGATGCAATTAAAAACAGAATGAAGAGAGAGAGAGAGAGAGAGAAATTGACATAATGGACATGGAGGCAATCAAAGGGATTGCGGGAGGGGACTGCCTGCCACTCGTGCAGCAGCCTTCAGTGCTTCACAGCAGCAGCAGCAGCGATTCCAAAGATACAATGCAGACACTGCTCCTGTGGCTGTGGCCATGGCATGGAAAACGAAAGGCAAAAGGCGAAAGGATACCGAAAGGACTCGATTCAATAAGCGTCATATTATGCTGTCTAGTCGGGTTTCAGCTGAAGCACCTCGTGTTGCATGCTGCTAATCAATCATGGCATGCAATGCCACCGCCAGTACAGACGGAAGGAGCAGGGGGCTCGAGCAGTGGGGCGGCACATCCAACAGGCCAAAGCGACTGCTCTTCCAGCAGCTGCCTTCAATGGGCAATTATTGATTGATGCCAAGTGCACATCGCCGGATGGCAAGAGCCGCTCAACGGGTGGCCACCATCTCTCTCTCTCTCTGAAGTGGCCTGCAACCCTGATCTAGTGCCCCTTCGCCGTACCCCTCCCTGCAGCAACTTTTGTGACTGCCGCAGCATGAGCAACTGCCGCATCTGCTGTCAATGTTAAGATTTTAGACATTGAAATTATTCTTTTGAAGCCTCACAGCCTGGCACAGCTTTAAGTTTTTGGTATAATTTGTTGCATGTTTTCCAGCGTGCAACATTCCATGGGTTTCCGTTTGCCGTCTCCTTGAGAGTGTGTGGCCTTGCGGCTTGCTGTCGTCCTGTCAACAGTTTCCTACTCGTCGGTACATATTATTTTGAAAAGTTTCTTCACTGGACTTCTGCACTCATTTAGAAGACATTTTTCTCATAATTGTGTGTGAACAACAAAATATATTTCCTCTGTGATTATTTTGCTGTTTTGGATGTGACGTAGGAGAAACGTGTTTGGCATGCCCAAAGAGCAGAAACCAAAACAAATGTATTTAAATGAGTCTGGAAAATTAAGTGGAAATGTGTGTGACGGGAGGGTGGGGCTGGAAACACGCGAGATGTAGATAAGTCGAAGCGGAGCAAATTTTAATGCCGCTCCAGCAAACCTTAGACAAATAAAACTATAAATAAAGCGAAACCTCCTCAGCGGCATGTGGTTGTGGCTGCGGGTCTAGGCCTGGCTAGGGGAGAACCTATTTACATAAGTGCCACAACAGCCCCCAACCCACACCTTGTGTCTAAAGGCGCACGTGTTTGATATTTCTTTTAGTTTTATGTCAGACAATATCATGCCACACAGACACAGACACGGACAAGCGGCACATCCGCCCGTTGATAATTCAATAAACTAAACAAGATTCTGTGGGAGATTTATGGGTTTGACATACGGCAGTTTCGACTGCCTCAGAGGCGGTTTATAAATCTCCATTTCAACGCACAGATACACACGAAATTGCTACAGCTCTTAGCTACTTATTAAAATGCCATTTTAGAGTGGGCAGACAGCAGCTGTAGGAGCCGTAGTAACGGCTGCTTCATAAATTGCCCACACTTATGCTCAATAAATGGCCATAAATCTGTGAGCCGACTCGTTGGCGGCATTAAAATGCGCAACGACACGGCCACAGTCAGCCACAAAACGCCCGAAAAGTAGGCAACAGACAAATGCTACTACGAAGCAGGCAAAGGGAAGGTGAGGCGTTTGATACCCTAGCAAATGTGTTGTTTCAATGTCCAGCTATGAGACATCAAAGAAAATGCAATAAAAATTTCAAATAAAACCGAAATTTGATCAAATGTGGCAAGGAAATTAAATTTCTAACTCATTTTAAAGGTTTTCCGTTGTCAAAAAAGGTTGTCTGGTTGACAGACCTTGTTTTTACCACATAATATTCTGACTAGTGATAAAAGGAAGTACTTATCTGCTGCTAATAAAAAATGTATATACTCTTCAGGTTCTTCGAGGCACCCACTGACAAATGCCACAAACAAATAATAATAAAATATGTGCCACGGACTGTGTGTGAGTGTGTTTCTGTGGGTGACTGGAACAAATCTGTGTTTGCTGTCGAATCATTCTCCACGGCTTAGCAGCAAAGCACAAATGTAATTTGGTTTTAAAAATGGCAGCATTTGTGATGGCAACTGGCCCGAGGTGCTGCTCCTAACGGGCGGACATTAAACTGATGTCCCAGCCTTCCCAGACACTGCCGCTGGAAGGCAGTCCGAATTGATTAATTGACAGTTGACTCGTCATCGTTTTCGAGGGCCATTCTGGCTTTTTTTGGTCAACATTGTGTGCGTCAATAATGGGGACATGACGTGCCGTAATAAATCCATGGGTCAGCCAAAATTTTGCTTTTGCTACATTACACAAAAGTGCATTAAATTTCGAGCCATTAGGCAGCGAATCTCTCCCTCTCTCTCTCTCTTCTCTATCTTTCTATTGGCAACACTGCCGCCTGGACATCCACTATCTACAGTTTACACGTCGCTGAATGCAATTCTCGACGCTATCTCTTTGCCATTGTAAAATGTTCATCATGCAAATGAAAGAAGAACGAACAAAAATTGCTCTGCTCTACTTATGTATAAGCCATCAACGAGGGAGAAGGAGAATTAGATTCAGACTTAGTATATATACGAATATCCTTGCATTTACTAGCTGAGCATTGCTACAATTTCTAGCCTGTGTCTGTGTTTGAGTTTGTTTTCGATTTCGCTTCTCTAATTGAGCAATTTCCTTTTGGTTAATTGCTTTGCGCGCTGTCGGATTTGGATGCAGGATTCAGGAGTCCGATTCCGATTCACTTGCAGGTAAACGACAATCACCTCTTTCGCGCCGCAATCTACTCTGTGTCTTGGTCAATTAATTTGCCATAAGCAATTCATAAACATGCGAATTCAAATTGCAAATTGTGAAAGAAGACATTTCCAGTAGCGGAGGCAGTATTCCAGTCATAAAACGTGACATGTGCCATCAAGCCATTGACTACTGTGCCCATAAATACGTGTTTCGGATTCCCCCAGCACAAAAAGGTAGCAAAAGCTCAAAAGGAAGCGTAATTTGCATATGGCTTTGGGTGTGGGTGTGGGTCTGTTGGGTATGTGCACACACACACAGCAATGTATATGTGTACCCCAGAATCAAGTAGGTAAAGGTAAAGGCAAAGCCGCAGCAAACTTGGCCTAATCTGCATAATAATAAACCACACAAACATAAAAACTGGAGCACCTCCTCTTAACCCGACATGAGAGTGAAAAACATTTCTACCCACACGTGTGTGGGTGTGGGTGTTCCCCGTTTTGCCTCGCTTAATATTGTGTAAATTGAATTTCCATCACTTTATGATTACTTGATGCGAACTCGGATGGAAATACATTTCAAGTTGACTTTTGCTGGAAAGCATAAAATTACCCAGGCAAAGGCCCCCGGGCAGGGATCTCGGGTGGCCTTCCGACTGCACCCAAAGTTGTCGGGCAGCAGCATATCAATTCTAATCAAATTGACAGCCGTCTGCACCAATAAAACTTTATTAGTAGTGGGAAATGTGCAGCTGTCGATACGGGGGAACATAGTCTTAGCTTGTCCCAGGATTCAGCTATGTGGGATGCAAGTGTGACAGAGGACTTGTAGCTGCTTTAAGCTCTGTGTTCTCGAGAGATTCACACAAGTGCAAACTTGAGTACTCAAATTGAACACCCATGTGTGTCCTTTTTTCTCCTCCACTTTTCAATGCATTTTTAAAGATTTAAATATTTCTTTGCTTACCTTACTGCTGCTGCACAGCTGTTTTGGGGATTGACAATTGGTAAATGCTGTTGACACTCGTATTTAATTGATAAGTTAATTAATGCAGCTCGCTCGTGTGTTGGTTGGTTTTTGTGTGTTTGTTGAGTTTGGCATTTAAATTAAGTGGAACTCCGGTTAAATTCGTATTGTTTACAGCGCGCGCGCACGTTTTGCATTAATTCCGTTAAATTGGCTTTCGAAATTTACATGATTGATTCAACAGCGATTTCCATTAGGGTTTATCGTATAGTTATAGTTGATAATATGTGCAGATGCTTAGATCTGCATGTAGCTTGTTGTACATCAAAGAGTTGGCTACTTCTAGGTAGACATATAATACACGTAAAACTTATCCAAAAGTTGTTTGATATATAAAATGCATATCTCCTCTATATAATTCATAACTTCTTTAGAGCCATTCCAATTCCCATTCCATTTTGCTGAGCCATTAACAAGTGCAATTGCTGACATCCATCCCAGTTTGATATGATCTTACATACAATTGAGCTCTTTGGTTGCTTTCTCTATTGTCGCTGCTCCACCTTTCGCTTTCATCAATTTTTTCGACATCGCTGGACAATAATCTTCGAATGTAAACTTATTTCACTTTCGTGTATGTAGGTATGTATATGTGTATGTATATACGTTGTATTCAACATCAATAAAACATCAATAAAAATCGGTATTTGTTAACAACACTTTTATAAAAAACGAACGCAACGTTACGACGGTTGGGTTACACACATAATCATAATTATATATATTTCAATATATATTATCTGTATATATAGTATGTACGTATTTATGTTTATACATATATCTATGGTATATATTTCTATCGTTTAGTTATCTTTATATATTTTGTGTGTTTATGTGTATAGTTATAGCTCTTGCTCGTATATACATTTATTTTACACACAGAAACATTTTACTATAACATGAGTCGGGGATAGAGTATTTAACGATGCGTGATCTTTTTTTGGTATTTTGGTTGATTTCTCGATTGATTTTTGCTTCACATATTCTAAAAATTTCACATCACAGCCAATGGATACTGACGATGGGACGCATTTCCTTCTCCTTCTCTTGCACCTCCTCTTGATCTCCTTCTGTTGCCATTTCCTGTTGCTCTGTTTTATCCGGATGATGATACTGATGACGATGCTAAATGGCGATGCTGATTGACTAACAATTGGGGGGCCTCTGTTATCCATCTGGGAAGTTGCCAGGTCCCAGCTGGAGCATGTCTCATTTGGGCTCCTCGATGGTCTGCCCAACCACAATGATGATCACAATGAACACCGCCAGCAGTACGAGAATGCAGCAGATGGCCACCGCCACCATTGCGCTGTTACTCATTCGAGTGCTCTTTAGTACACCCTGTTCAACCTCGAAATGGAATAGAGAAGAGCTAACTCACTCACTTGATGATGGCTGCACTGATTCGGTATGCAGTCACTGCGCTGTTTCGGAGAGAGAAAGATATTTGCATATTTCCAACGGCTGTCAGTGCAACTGGGAATGGAGTGCCTTGTCTGTGCACACAGTTGAGATTATCGGTCCATCCACTGGGCAATCACTTGTCATAAGTTGTTTCCCCGCATGTTCTATGGCTCCTGGCACTGACAAATACCCATCCATCCATCCAGCCATATCCCACAACCCATGAGAAACAAATTGCCTGCCATAAATTGAGAGGGCGGGCCATCAGACGCTTGACTGGGCATGAAATGCCTGGCTACCCAGAATGAATGCGGGAGAGAGCATCCTGACGGTCTGTGGACAGCCAAAAACTTGTCGCCTTTTTGCCCTTTTGTGCGTGTGTGAGTGGCCCACAAGTGGGAATTTGCCAAGCAAACAAACACACAAAAAATCACATCCAATATAAGCCCGACCCAAGTTTGAGGGTCGCTTCTTTTGTCTCTAATCTGGAGCACTGTGTGCCACTGACAGATGATTAATGTTGCCCCGTCCCGTGCTGCACTTCCTGTCAGCCAAAGCCAAATGCAATTCCCAGTATCGATGGCCAGACTGTATCCTGTCTAATGGCTTTAATGCCAATGCATTACACGGGACGACAGGGACAGCCTGGCCTACAGCACGTATACTTAATTATAAGCTGAGCCGGCTCGGGTCGGAGGGGGAAGAAATTCAATTACATCGAAACAAAACCTGACACAAGCCCTCGAAGTGATTTAATGAAAAAAAAAAGCTAAAAAGTAAAAAAATGAATTGAAAAGCAATAAACGAGGCTTCCCTTTTGCAGGTCGAATCTCTGAATACACTTTTAAATAATTGAAAATATTTATACTGGCATTTCAATGGCTTTTGATTGTAATTTGGAATACTTAGAGTATCAAAAAATACATAAGAAATGCATTGTTAAAAATTCAAAGCGCCCAAAACGTGGCTACTTTGCGCTTTGTAATAATTTACACAATTTTTCTCAAAAGATATCAATGTAAACTTTAAGGTTTCCACCGCTTTAAATGTTTATTTTTGCCTATATTCTTTTGTGGCATTAATTTTCTGTGGAATAAGCTCGAACTTCGCTGCATTCCTAATACCATTTTCCCTTGAATTTAATTTATATTTTGAGATCCTTATAAACCGCTTCCGTCCCGCTTCTGCTTCAAGCATCCATAACTGCAGAGACCCTTTCGAAGGGCTGATTTTTCAATCATCAATGTACGAGTAATATTTATTTTTTCTTTCATTTTTTTCCCGTGTTCTTTTAGTACAAGCGAAAATGGCTCTGGGCGCTGACATTTCGCCAAAGCAGGAACCCAGCCCGACAAGCAATAACAACACTAACAGCTTTTGCTACAGAAGTTTTGATAAGTTTTCGCAATGCCAAATGGAAGGTGAACGGAATTGAATGAATGTATGTACTCGTTAAAACTAATGCAGCCCCTACAGGGACCGATAGCAGAACAAATTCAATTCACTTCAGTGGGAAAAAGCCCCGACTAGACCTTTAATATAAAGTTAAGGCGAAAGTTCGGCCCTAAGCCTGGCGGGGGCTTATTATTTATGTACTCGGCGACCACTTGCGGTGCGTGTGATGTCCAGAGGTTGGGCCTCTGACCCGCCTATTAGCAGACTTTTAATTATGCCTCTCACGCAAAATAATTTGCCTTCTCTGGGTCCGGGTCGTGGACTCGTCATTTGCAGGCCCGTCAATGTTTGTGGCAGTTTCTATATTTTCCCTTCGTTCGTTTGATTTCTGTGCTGGGTCTTTGGTGACTTTTAAGGGCTGGGCTATTTAAATGTATATATTTTCGTATTTATTTGTGCTCATTTGTCGTCTGGTCTGCCCCAGGAAGTAACTGCCATAAATAAGGCTGCCGCTGCTAAATGACTTTCGTACCTTTCGTGCCCTGTCATGGCCCAATTGACCATTTCTTTGTGCTGCTGCGCTGTCCCTTTGAATTGGTCAATTAATATTAATGAAATGCCTTCTTTCCGCCAACCCATAAAAGCCCAGCCACCAACACCACAGTGAATACATCTCCTGCCTTCCTGTCTGGTTTTTATCCACGTACGTGTGTGCATAATTTCCACAAATTTACTTAAAAATTTACCTCCGGTGAGGTCAGGACTTGCCTTTTTTGTCGATTTAAGTTGTAATAAGTCAATTTATCAGCTTATTTTTAGCTTACACTTTTAAGCCCCGGGCTGTATCAATCAATCAAATTATGTTTGCCGAGGAGCAGGCGTTAAATGAAATGAAAGTGCAGCAACTGGCACAGCAAACTCAACCGGCAGCACCACGTGTCGTATGGGCAATGTGTGGCCAAAACGCTTCTGCTTTATGGCTGGCGATAAAAGGCCGCAAAGATATTTTATATTTGTTTATTGTCTGTGTGTCGGTTAGTCTGTCAGGCAGGCTGGCAGTACACTTTGAAAGATTTACCACACATTGCACACTGTCAGTCCTGAGAGTCTTTGAGTCTTAATTAAATTAGCAGGCGCCGAGCCACAAAACACAGACACACAGACAGCCGCAGATAGAGACAGAGACAAAGGCATGATGACAGACGGGATACCAGAACTCCCACCCAAAATGCCAGCACAAAGGAAACATCATGTCATATAAGAGCGAGAGTAAGAGTGTGTGTGAGCCTATTGGCGGTCTCTGTCTCTGCTTCTGCCTCTGCCTCTGCCCCTGTCTATTGTGGAATAAAATACATTTTTGCAATTTCGAAAGTTTTATGCGCACATTTGCGAAATTTGTTTATGCTGTCGAAAAAAAGAATACTTGGGCGTGGATAAGCGTAGGAATAAAACAAGAACAAATGGGCCATGACGCAAGGAGCGAGAGGCAAGGCATGCACGGGCCTCCCCAGGGGCAGATGGGTACATGGACCACATGGGATACATGGCAAAAAGGGTTTGGTTTGAGGCTGTCTATGGCTGGGTATAGGTTAGAGGTTAGTCAAATGGCACCCCAGAGTGCGTGGGCCAGTGACGTTGGCAACATTTCTGTGCCTGTTCCCACTCCCACTCCCACATGCCCGCTCGGTTCACGTGTGCGCTGAAACATAAATTTCAATTTTTTACAATCGCTCCCCCACAAAGAGCCGTTGAAGGGTTAACAGAAAACCTTTGGCAAAGTGAAAATTATGGAAAATTGCATTGGGCTGAAGTAAAAGCGTTCTTGCGAAATGAAAATTGCATGCAAAATTAAAGCAGAGGCAAAAAATCTTTTGTCAAGTTCAGCTGCAGGGATGGATGACCTTGGCAGACGCCACTGCAGGAGTCCTCTCCGCCCAAGTGCCGTTCAACGTTTGTAGTTGTGTGTATTCTGTGTGTTTTTGTGTGTTAAAACAATGACTGAAACGCTTGAACATTGCTTTAAGGTCTTGTCTGGCAATGTCAAAAGTCAAAAGTGCATTAAAATAATTGCACTTGTTTAAGCCAAAAACTGCCAGCGAGCTGCCTGGCGAATGTTCCTGATTTATAAAATACACTCACACACATATACACCTCTCTTTTGGCTCTTTTGCTCGGTGTGTATCTATGTGAGGCCCCCATTTCCGCCTTCAACTACACTTAAACTTGATTTCTGTAGTAGGTACAGCTTTTGTCTTAGTTCTTTCTCAGGACAAGCGTCTCAGGCTCATTGTGGCCCCACATGAATGAAAAGATTTATGTGTGTGTAAGTCAACCTCGAGACGCTAGTCCCTTAGCCTTGTCGTGGCCCACTTGCTCGAGCGTCCCCCAGCTTGTTGCATGTTTCACGTTTCACTTTTATGTGGGATATGTTTTTAAAGATATTTTCGCTCTACAAAAGACATTTTTTAATATGCCCATGGAACGTGCAACAAAGATTAATGAAATTCCTTTACTGGGAAAATGAAATCATCTCGCAAACATCTGACAAAACAAGTCAAAATTTAAGAGAAAAACAAAACAAAAATCAGAGAGAAGAACAACATTTTTCCCAGAACTATGAATGGGAAATTCCAATTGAGTTTTGTTTGCCATTTGCATTTGCCATTTGCTGGGCACACCTGACGCCACTCCCCGTTTCAGCCTTGTTTATTTATAAATTCGATTGGCAATGTGTATTTGGAGGATGCCCGCCACCTCATCGTTCTTTATGGGTTATCTGCGGTTTGTTTATCTGTCTGGCCTAATTATCATTCTGTATCATTCACGGCTAATGGCTCGGAATGCTTTTCCCGCCTCCCACTCATTAAGAGTTCGGTTTGTGATTTTTATTGAAATCGGCGTAGTTTCCGCTCCCTTGGCGCATAAAATCATAATCAAGTAAGGGAAAGTTTTGCCCCTGTCCCGATTGATTAGCCGTTTGATGGACCGGGCGACAGCTGAGGGGAAATGAGTTCAAGCTTGGGCGCTAATTGATTGACTGTACAGAGTTTCTTGGGCTTGAAAGTTGAGACGAGTTTTCCATCACAATTTCCCTGCCCTGCACCTTGTAGAATTTTGATATTAAAGCCACTTAATGCAGGTGGCACATCAAAGGGCGGCACTCTTTATTTTTAATCAGCAAACTCATTAGCAGCATCTCAACGTTAACTAAATATAAATTAAAGAAGAGGCCATCCGCAGCTTACATCCTTCCGAAGCCCGCTACCCTGCTGCTGCCACTGCCATTGCCACTGCTGCTGCTGCTGCTGCGTGAAAAGTTTTCACTTGGCAGCCGTCAAGTTGATGTAATAAAAAAGTTGCAGCATTTTTCTAACAATATTTCTCATATCACATGACATGGACACGCGGCGACTGGGGAAAGCCTTCGAAAACAACAAGGACCGTGTGCACCGGGCGCTGCTAATTAGTTTCGAGTTTTGGATTTAAAAAACCCCCTCGCAAATGTTGCTCATACGCAAGGATGGGCTTCATGCAGCAGCAATTTGAATAGAGTACAATGAAAACTAGCAAAACGGAAAGAAATCTTTGTGCAAATGCCAGAAAAATAACACAAAGAGAAATAAATAAATATTTTCAACGGATCCCACACATCACACCATGCCCGCCCCCCAGTTGGTTGTTCATTGGAGGATGGATTCGAAAAAGGAAAACCGCTCAAAGCCGACGGGAAAACCATGTGAGTAGCGCGGAAGGTCGCCTCGAGATGAAGGCTCATTATAAAATACTAAAAAAAATAGTAAAAAAAAAAGAGAAAACCATTGAGATGTACCGAGACCTGGTCCTGGTTCTGCTTTTGAGGTAACCCAAAAGGAAATTTTAATGATGCATATAAAAAACCCGGCGACGGCAAATGAATAAATAATTTATGCGTAAAGGTCCTAAACAGACGAGTGAGTGGCTGCCACATTATTTGGCAAAGTTTACTCCTCGTTTTTTGAGCACACTTTCCACACGTATCACATTTTATCTCTCTATTACCTGATGGCAGTGCTGGGCCTTGATTTAGTGTCCCTCAAAAAGCAAGGGTTGGGTTCCCTTCCCCCAGTGACTGGTTGTGTGTTTACTCATGGACTCCCCTATCTATTCAGTTCTGTTTGCTTATCACCTGGTGGCAAGCTGGCAACCGATTTCTACTGCTGCCCCACTATTTGCCCAGAACGGGGCACATTTCAATATTTTAGAGATTTGCCGCATGCCACGTTAGCTGCATGCAAATTGCAGGAGTCGAAAAGACTTTTGTATCCCTTTGCTATACTGTGTCCCTGTGGGGCTTAAGCCTTCTTTGCACAGCTCTCACACGCATTCGATTAGTCTTGAGCTGGGAGTCTTAGCATGAACTGCCATGAATCGATGGGTGGGACGGTATGTCCTTGAGGCCAAAGGGCGACCGTTGTCAAAGTTGTCAGCCATCAGGGACAGGCGTTGCAATCTAGTCTCGGTCCCAACGGACGGAAATTGAAAGTCTCCAAAGACATTGACTCCAATTAGGACGTAGATACATCATAACTTCCATCACAATTCTCGCTTTTCTCTCATGTATTTTTGCATTCAATATTTATTGCGTGCGTGAATGTATCTATCGTTTGTTGCAGCTAACCGAACAATGACTGAGTTGTACATAAGTCCCTTAACAATTGCCTTCATCGAAATCGTTTTGTGGCCTTTCAATGCACAGATTTCCATTCTCTGTTGTCCTGGGAAAATCAGTAAACTCAGTCCAGGGTTACAATGTGTGTATACAGATGCATGTGTAGAAGTACTTTTATCTGTCATTCACTTATTCAATGTAACTCGTAAGCGGAGACTGCTATTAGTCTGGGATTAACCTACTGAGGAGTCAATAGTGACCGGCAGAAGCTGCCCAGAACCTCTGATGGCTTATGGAATTCGCAATTTAAGTACGTTTTTCTGACAATCAGTGATTCAACTATTTTCTGAGATTTCTTCTTTGGGTTGAGTGCAGTTAGGTGGCTAATTCCCTAGTATTATTCTGAAATTGTTCAACAATTTATTTCGAGCAAAAAAACCATCAAAAACCCCACAACTCAAGTGTGCACCACACAGACAAGGCAATCCAAAAACGAATTCATAACTAAATGCATTCTCAAGTTCCATTTTGAATATTTACGTTTGCGAGTTAAAAGCTTTCCAAAAATTGATTTGAAGTTCACTTTTGTCTTTTGAGTTTTAGGCAGCCGCAGCACACGTCGATGATCCCCGCTGGATCCTGCACACCGTAACGGATGGGGTTTAAATCAACATAAATATGCAAACAAAAAGCACCAAAGTGGGCAAGCGATAAAGCGCGAAACGGATAACTGTAATCAGTGTGTGGCAGAAGAAGAAACGAGCGGAGAAGAGCGCGCGCGATTCTTGGACTCTGGAGTCTGTCACACGATGCGATTAATGTCGTCGTCGAGCTGCTGGCTGGCTGGCTGGCTGGCTGGATGGCTGCTGCTGGTCTCCTGTAACTATAACTGTAGCTGAACAGTGTTTATGGCACGGCCGACAGAAATCGACTGAGCCGTTTCGGCTGCTGCCACGGCATTTAAAAGCACTCAACGAACGAACGAGAGCCGAAGAGAGCGGAGGCGGAGGACACTCCTCCTCACTGATGACAAGAAAAGCTTTTCGTTTGGCCACATTTGAATCTGTAGACGGTTGGTCGCGGCAGTCAGTCCCCACCAATATAACTTGAATAAATCAAATTGAATTTATGATTTCATTTCGTGCTTAGCTGTCCCCTTACACCCCCCACACATTCACAGCCCCAGCCACATTCACATCTAAATCCAAATCCTGCAGAGCTGTCGTCTCGGTCTGTGTCTGAGGCCTGGCGAGGGTGCTTAAAGGTTGTGTGCCTCGAGATTTCATTTTCGTTTGAGGTGCTGCGGCTCAATGAGTCGTTGATTTTGTTTGTTCGAGTGGCCAGAGAGGGGTTCTGCTCTCTGCTTTAATGGCTCCACTTGACACCTTCGTGGCAAGTGGCAGGTGGCAGCTGCCAGCTGCTGCCCCAAAATCTGACAGGTGAGACTCTTGTTTGACTTTGACTTCCGCTCATTATGCCGCTGAGCATTTCTTTGGCTCCTTTTTTGTGTGTGTGGATAATTGCTGAGTCAAGGAGTCGCCAAGGCCGATGCACCCCTCTCCCTGCCACTCCCAGTTCCTGTCTGGTTCTGCGGGCTAAATTTAAATTGGCTGCAAAGTTGCGTCGCTTCATTTTCGATCTCATTTAATTTGCCAAAATCTCATTAGACGAAAGCAGACAAGGACAACGACTACAGCATCGACGTCTTGTAAGATAAATGTGAATGTTCTTCGTTGCTGTTTTGTTGTTGCCTTTCCTTTGGGTGGGCCGCTGCTGGTTTGACCTGTGCCCGAGGCCGCCTGGCCTGTTCTTTGACTTTCTTTTTTTTGTTCATTCTTTGCCCCCGCGCCATTATTGGCGGTTGTGGGCGCCAAGTCAGCGATTTATTTGAGCCAAACAAAAGGCGTGTAACCCAGCAAACATTTGCTAAACAACTTTAGCAGTGATAAGCGCAGGAGAGCGGCTTCCGCTTAGCCAAAATGATAAGATGGCCGCCCAATGCGCAGACGCGAGCTTTCAGAGAGAGTGAGAGAGCAGAGAGTGCGAGAGCTTACTTGTCTAAAACTGATAAGAAGGAAAGCAGAAGCTAAGGAAGTCCTGGTGCCTGCATCTGTGGCACGGCAGCGGCTGTTTCAATTGTCTTTAATCGTTGCTCAAATGCCGAAGATGATGAGGGGGAGAATGATGGGAGTTGGGTGTGGGATTGGAGGTTACATTTAACGAATTGTCATTGATTTCTTTTGAAATGTCTCGGCGTTTGTTTGCCTTTGCTTCTGCCACATTAGGCAGGGACTAGTCTTCCCGTGCCACTGATTGCTGCAGCTTTGGTTATCCCGTGGAATTTAATCTTGCCAGTACCACTGGCACAGCTTCTCTTAAATAATTATGTTACTTCACATTTAATTAATAGGTTTGCAGCATTAACAAAAGCCAGCCGCCAAAAGGGTCCTCCGCGGGTCTGTGGCCAGCAATTAAGGCAGGGTCTGCTGCCTGCCACATTGTCTTCAAGCCAAACCCCAAAACGCAGCTTGACCCAAAGTTTTTGAAATAATTTTGCTGTTGTTCGTTTGGCCTTTAGGAATGAGCGACAAATAACGAATAACGAAACGATGAAAAAAGTGTCACACAAAAAGATTGAAAAGGAGTCAGCCCCCGGCGGGGCAGGGCAGGATCCTTTCCTTCCTGCCGGCAACGCACACACATTTGTAGGTCGTTACATTTTTTTGTTGTGTACGCCTTTAGCCTTTGGCAGTCGATGGATATATTTTCCATTGAATTCCGTTCGGTACATAAATAATGAGCTCTGTTGTTTGGCCAGAGATTCCGTTCAAAATCATTTATTTACCATGAAAAAAACTCTCTACAGTGGACACACTCTCACTCTCTGGTAAGTCTCGGCAAGAGCGGAGAGAGTGAGTTGACAGTGACATTGTCTCAATTAGTGGCCAAAGGATAGAAGTGGATAAAGCACTTACCTGCATAGAACAAGGGCAGCAGATTGAAGATGATAACAAGCGGAAATATAGAGCGTGCAAACTTCTGCACATCCATGAAGATGCTGACCGGACTGGCGGACTGAGGAGTGTGAGTGTCCGCCGTGCCAGTGCTGGTGTTCCCGGGCCCATCTTGAGGGGGCTTTCGTTGTGGTTTCGTAGAGTCTTGGCTGGCATTGGAAGATAAGCGTGATAGGCGAGGGCTTGTCGTGTTGCTGCTGAGGCCAGTCTGCTTAGAGATCCCTGTAGAGGCGGCCACAGCAGCCAGAGCCAGGCATGGCATGGCAGCAGCAGGAGCGGCAGCAGCAGTAGGAGCAGTGGCAGTGGCAGTGCAGCCTGCCAGAGGATATGGCTGTCCTTGGCAGCTTCCAGCTGTGGACAGCATTCCGTGATTGTGGCTGGCAGCGATCTCAGGTGTGGTCCATTGCCAGGCTGTTGCACCTTTATGACTTTTCCACGTTCGTGCATCATCTGTTGCAGCTCCCCCGACCTCCTCTGCTCCTCTGCCTGCTGATGTTGCCCCGAGTGTTGGCTGGCATAATGTTGCTGTTTCTGTTGATGTTGCCGATGCTGCCTCCGGTTCTCTTTGTGTTTGTGTGTGGCATAAAAAGAATTCGCTTTGAAATTGCTTCCGTTTGCTGTTGCAGTTGTTTGTGTGCTGTTGCTGTTGTTGCCGCTGCTGCAGTGTTTGTTGTAAGAGTTGTCGTGTCGTTGTTGTTGTTGTTGTTGTTGAAGAAATTGTTGTTGGTGTGTTATAGAAATGTCGTATCTGTGCTGAGGCCATGTTGTGCCCTGAAATGGAATTACAAGCGAGAAATAAACCATTAGAGATGCTCGCTAAGAACTAAGGACAGTTGTCCGTAGTTCACTTTTGATAATCCCAAACGCTTTGATTATCGATTCCTTGTGCAAAATGGACAGGCTTAAAGAGACAGAGATAGGGGGAGTGCCTGATGGATAGCAGCAACAACAAAGAACTTTTTGGGTTTCTTCTTTTTTTTAATCAATTTCCACTGGCACGCCCCAAAACCGGGCAATCCTTTCGCTCCATTCCGCCCAAGGGGTTCTCCAATGAAGGTCCTTGCTTCCTATTTGTTTGCCATCCCTATGCGAGTTTTATTTACTTTTAAACTGGGCTTACGCCGCTGTGCTGCGAAATTGAAAAATCAACTGGACAGACATCATCATCATCAGCAATACCATTAAAGGTTTTCGAACTACGGAATTTGTGGAAGCTTTTTGCTACTTTTTCATTGAACCATTTTATGGTTAATATTAAGTAAACGAATATTATGGCAGAGCTCCTGCTTTATGGCACATTTGCAGGAGCTTTTGCTGGTGGACAGTTAAAGCTGTAAAGCAGTTCAAAGCTTTGCTAGAATGTAATATTACACAAGCTTTTCGATGGCAATGTAAATGCAAAGCTTCGGATGTTAATTTACACAAAGCTAAAAGCTTTTGTGGATGGCAAGTAAACACAGAAGGAGCCACACTCTCCACATGGAAATGTAAAAGGGCAACGTGAAAGAAATCTAGCAAAATGTCGTAATAAAAATATGAAAACTCTGCTGAGGAAATTCTTCAGTAGAATTAGAATTACCCCACCTGACTACGCTTCTGCTCCGTGCATGCCATTGCTCATTTGCAAGCCATAAATAAATGCGAAATAATCATAAATAATGTGAGCCAGAACACTAGTTAAACCCTCGACAAATGCCACGCCCAGTGGGTCAGGCTGGGCATTTATCAACATTCTCTTGCCTCCACCCACTCGAAATGTTTTTGGCAAGTCCAACTCGTGCCTCTGATGTGTGTGTGTGTGTGTGTGTGTGTGTGTGTGTGTGGCAGGAGGATATTCTAGTGATTACAGACGTTGATAATAAAGTAAAAATTGCAACAATGAGCGCATAGACATCATGTCCAAGGCAGTCACCAGCGTAAGCAACAACGCCCACACGTAGCACAGGGCCATAAAAGGCTCGTAATCAACGTGAAACTGCGAAACGCACACACGCATCCACTACACATCCTTCCCTGCCTGCTCCTTGATGGCAGGAGAGTGTCCTGTGCCGGACACTACTCTTGTTAGCTGCTAGCTGCTGTGGCCTGGCCATTTTGGCAAACGAAAATTGTCTGCAATGCTGCACTAATGTCATCAGGGCGTATGCGTAACTATGTAGGTGAGTCGAGTGTCGAGTGGGTTCAAGGCAGTCCAGCAGTTGGGGCTTGGGGCTTTGGTTTTTGGCTTGGGGCTGAGCTGAGTGGTGTTTTCTGTTACGTTTCAGCTGTATCCATTAATTCTGGGCAGCTGGCAAAAAGGATGTGTGCTGCTCGCATGTGTGTTTGTGTGTGTGTGTATCCTGCTGAATAATTAAAGGAGCTGCCATGCCATGCCGTGCTAAAACTTCGCCGTATCCTGCCCGTGTAGTGGCCCCTGCAGTGTCCCTGTTCTGTCCTGCTTTTGATGTGGCCGCCACATAATTGGAAAATATTTGCTGCACTTCTGCACAGCAACGAGAGAGACACACATGCAATTATGAAATTCCAACTGCAGTAACAGACAGCGAGAAAAAATAGAGGAAAGGAGGCACAAATGTGGGGAGAGGCGAGTGGAAATGCGGTCCATGAATTGCAATTTGTTGCTGGCTAATGTTTATTCAAATGTTTTCTCGTTTTTATTACACCTGCAATTGTTGTTTTTATTTTTGTTGCTGTTGTTGTTCTTGCTGCTGCTGTGGTTGACCTGTTTGGCCATTTCATTTGCTGTGTGCGGCCGTGGCAATTAGTTTGCTTCTGCTGGTAATACTTTGACCCCAGCTAATTGTGCGTTTGCCCCAGCATTTTAATGAGTGCAACTTGAAAAGTCCTCCCCTTGCACTGCGGTTGCTGCAGCTGCCTGCTGCTGCCTTCTGTTGGGGCAGACAAACGCGGATAATGAGAAAATAATAAAGATGGGTGGGTGGGTACAAAAAAAATATTTCAAGCCAGCGAGAGAGCCAATTAGAAGACACTAAAGACAGGCAACCGCGTCAAAGGATGCACAAAGTGGAGCTGCCCTTTCAGTTTTGATGGATGGTTTCCGAGAATGTTTTTCCTGTCACTCTGGCAGCATCGAAATTGTAGTTTAATGCAGTCTCTGCACACACTCTAAAATGCTTATTAAACTCTTAGCAAAGGGTACAGGAAAGAGCAAGCAAAAATCAAAACAAAAAAGGCTGCCTGCAACAAATGGGTCGGGCTTGTTGCCAACTGCAGTGGGGCCGCCATCATTTTCAGTTGCACCAAAAAAAGAGCGAAACAGGAAGAAAGGAAAATAGATAGCGCACTCCACATTCACACTTTACTTCCACGCCGAGAGTTGTGGCATAAATTTAGACAACCAAAGGGCAGAGCTTGGTGTCTCTTCCCTTGCTGCAGATGCTGCAAGTTGTATCTGCATCTGTGCTGTATGCTTCAGCACTGCCATTTGATGTGCCGCAAAATGGCAGCAAAATACTTTTCAAAATGTCTGATTAACATTCTGTTGGAGCAATGCTATTAAGGTTCTTTAGTTATGACAACAAACAACCAAAAGGCTGGCATAAATTTCTAACTCTCTCTCTCTCTCGCTCTGTGTCAGCTCGTTATGGAATGCGTTTGCCTGGGTCGCCCGTTTGTGGCAAGCAACGATGCCAGAACCAAAGAACCTCATCATCGTCATCATCATACTCATCGTGTTGCAGCAGCAGCTGCAGACCCATGGAAATTAGCGACAGAACCAGCCAGAAAAGCCTTGTGCAACGACAGTGACGTTGCCACCAGCCACACAGTGCCACACAGTGACAAATTGCAATTTAAATTTGGCTTTTGTTGACGCACCGAGCTTCAAGTGTCGCTTGTGTGTGTGTGTGGTGTACTCATTATGAGTCACAATTATTTGTAGTTTTTAATTAGAAAACTTGGCATGTCTGCCTGCTCTCTCTCTCTCTCTCTCTCTGTGGCTTCTCTGTTGTGTCCTGCACTTCAGTTCACTTCAAAAACATCAAAATACTTTCATGAATATGCAATACGTTTTGTTAACAGGCGACGCATGGGTGATGCACAATTTATGTACATGTTTATGATGTGTCTCGGTCTCGCCCCCAAGTTGCATTTCGAATTAATCAACAGAAAACTCCACCCAATGAGGATGTGCACTTTAGTTGGTTGCAAAATCACTCACCATATCGTCTGCATTTAGAGCGTTAGGGTACAACACGTCCTAATCACGGAATCCTTTCAGTTTCTGCAAGTAAACAAAAAAACAAGTGTTAAGATCTTGTTAGAGTTGAGTTTTTGGTGATGTTGCATTTTGGCTATTGTCTCTGATTTGCATAGCAGCAGCTCACAGCTCACAGCTCGCAACTAACAGCTGGAAGCACTTAAGTCAAAGTTGCGAACAAAAACATTTGCAAACTGCAACGTTAATGCGACTTTTGTGGAAAGTTCGAAAAGTTTCTGGCAGGGCGCGGGCGTGTCAAAAAGAGATGGCAAACGAGCGGGAGGGGGTACAACTTTCCGAGCAAATCAATTCCAGAGCAAACTAAATGAAACAACGACAAGCGAAAGCAAGCTGCCAAATACTCGTAGATAAAAATGCCAACCACACATGCCACAAGAGCGTGGAGGAGGCAAGACACGGACACGGACACGACACGACAGGGGGGCCGACTGGGAAGCCGCAAACAAATTGTAAAAATGTTTCTTTGCCAGCGAAATAGCGGAAAAGCGGAAAAGCGGGAAAGCATTGCTGCCATTGGCAGCGTCTTGTGTCTCGAGCAAAGCGAGTCCCAGAGCAATTTATCATCTCTATGTTTAAAATTTATTACATTTATTGTATGTTGTTGTGCGCCTCCGTTTTTTTTCTGCTGCTGCCACTGTTTACTTTTAACTGTTTTTCCTTTGCCTTTCCTATCTATGCCCCATGTCTGGTGGGTGATGGGTGGTGATGGGTGGCGGCCCTCCAACAATTCCCAGGCAACACTTTAAGGGCCCAGTCGAGTGGATAAAGTGGTGAAGGCAAAGACGGAGGCGGACAGGCGGCAAAGAGTTCTCAGCCGCTGCTGCTGTCAGTTGAGTTATAGCGCTCGACTTGCCTTGACTCGACTCAGTGCCGGGCTCTTGTAATTGAATTTATCGCTGTAGCAATATTCATCAACGTCAGGAGCCGAAGGCACTAGCTCTAGCCTGCCTCAGCTGCTGTCGAACAAATGCCGAGCGATCCAATTGAAGTGTCAAAGATTATGAATCCCCATTTTGCAGTTGCGCATACGCAGTGTAGCCATCTTTTGGTTAAACAAAAGGCAGGTCCAATTCAATGCCGGACCTCTAGCCGCCCTCACCGCACTGACAGCGTTGCCAAATTGCTTTCGATATCAATTTCCTGGCACAAGCAGCAGCAGCAGCAGCAGCTTTCCGTTGCCCCGTTGCCAGAAGCTGTGGCCGCAGCTGCAACCAAATCCGATTAGAATGCATTGCCCCAGCCAGTGCCCCTGCATTCCCCCCTGTGTGCACGCCAAAATCAAATTGTTTACGATACTGGCTGTTGTTTTGGGGCAAAGCAAACGCAAACACAAACAGAAATAGAAACACAAGCAGCAGGCACAGAGCACACCCACAAAAAAAGGGTTTTGCATTGCCAAAATCAATGGTGCGGCAGCAGCCGTCGGAAGTGCAGGAAGAGAGCTAACGGAGCTGCAATTGCCATGGAATAGTCATGATGGAGTTGACTGTACATGAAATATGCAGATGCTGCAGCAGACCATCCGATCCGAGTCAAGTTCGATGCAACCGCAGGGCCATGAGATTACTCCGAACGTAGCCATGGAAGCTAATGAAATCCATGCCAAGACAGCAAATTGAATCAGCCTGCTGCGGACAGCAGCCCGGGGGGAAGGACTTTGCAAACATTTAACAAATCGCATTCAATGCAGTTGGAAAAGTTTGACCACACACACACACACACGTGGCATGTGGCAGCTGGGGGGAAAGTGTGGAGAGAGCCGTTCTGCCGCACAAAGGGAAAACCTTTCAATGCGAACTTTAATTAATCGAAATTAAATCTGATGGCTGCATAATGGATAATGGTTTCTATGGTTTAAGCTGAATGCTGACTTAATTGTCTGCCCACTGCAAGGGTTGAGTGGCGCAGGATGAAACCGAATACAATTTTTGGCAACTGACTGCAAAATGTAAATCAAATTGAAAAGCCAAAACGCATGCATAAGCGAAGGATGTATGGCATATGGATTGCAGCTGTCAGTGGCAGATTGCCATGACACACACGGAGACACATTGCATGTGGCATGTGGCAACTGGCCGATGATGAATGAATCCTTAATGAGCGATATTAAGCTGCGTCACTTGCATTAAGTTTCAATTTGTGATGCTCTGTCGATGATGCGAGGGGCAACGCCTCTGTCCAGCCTCCTCGGTCAGCTGTCGAAGCATGTGACAGGCAGACAGATAAGCAATTGAAAAGGAAACGGAAGCCCCTCGAAGACGAGTGCGTGGGCCTGTGTGCGTATGTGTCCTTGACAGGCGGCATAATCAATTCCCATTTCGCCTGACACCACTCGACTGACGCCTTTGTGTTGCGCATTCGTGGAAATTACACTAAAAAAAGAAGAAATTCACTCTGCACTCTGCAGGCGTCGTCTGACAAAGGACGGAGTATGACGGGGGTGGTGGCTGCCAGGAGCCACGGCCCGAGTGGGATGTGATATATGTTTATGGCTACCGGCGCCGGGTTCCATGCAACATAAATTATCAAAGTGCAAGTTGCAAATTGCTTGGCCTTCAGCCTTCAGCCTGCGGCACGAAATGTGCACATAATTTCAAAATTTATTACGATCCTACGTGTCCGGGCGATATGAAAGGGAGCCAAGAGCCGTGCGACAACGCCCACGATGCTCTCTCCAAAAAGGAAGAGTTGACTTTTGAATGCAACACCCAAACCCAAACACGAACATCAAGTAAGTTGCAAGTACACTGAGGGAACTGCATGCAAGTACACTGAGAGAGAGCTTAAGGCAATTAATGACAATCATAAAAGTCTCCTTAAATCATATTATTATTGCTAAACTTCTGCTCTGTCCTAGCACTTCCTTTGGCAGTCCATTCAATGTCCACCTATCTGGAATACTATCTAATTTTTCCAAGCTTTCCTTTCACACAATTTATTGCAAATAATCTCCTGAAGCCTTCCTTCCTCTTATTGTTTTCTGCCAAAAATCCTTCCATTTAAGGTTAAGAATTTTGCTAATCTCCGCTTTGTCACTGATTACTCTGCAGATATGTCATGGATGTCCTGGATGTCATGGAGGCCTTGGTTTTGCCAGTGTAGCTGCTGCACCTTGGCTGCCTCTGTCGGATATCAGGTATCCCCGGCACGTTGGGGCCGTGTGTGTCACATGCAAATAAGGTAACACAAACACACACGGGCAAAGGCACTGGCGCGGGCACACTCGTTAGCCAGCTTAAGACAGCCCAACGCCTGCTCTGTGGCCATTGGTTTTGTGTCAACTTTTGAACGGGCCACGCCCTGCCGCCAGTGGGTGGACGCCCCCCTAGTTTGCCGCCGCTTAGTTCCCGTTCCTGTGCCTCGTTTCGATTTAATGCATCATTTCCCCGTATTTCAGATGCAGAATGCCACACAACCGCAGCCCCCCAGAGCACCCGGCCACGGCCAGCTGGATGGAGCATTTCTGAAAGGATCCACAGGAGCCGAGAGCAACCGCAGTCACCCATGTCCCTGTGTCCCATGCCGCATGGCCAACACGATGCCCAGCGGGCATCGCCCTCCATCCGCCCTCGAAAGAATGTTGTGCATTTGTGTTTGCCTTTGTGGCACTGCTCGGCATCGTCCTGGATCCCGCTGTGTCCTGCGCCAGCTAACAATCTTGTACTTTGGCGTCCCGGTTGAGTTTAACTATGGATGGTGTTGGATGTTCCTCCAGCTACTGCCAACTGCTGCTGCTGTCGTTGCTGTCAGAGTCATTTTGCCGTTTTGCTCGGTAATGTTACACGGCTTTTTATACTCCTTGGAGGCAACGACAACGGCACCGACAACGAAGGCAACGACAACAATAAAGCAGGTGAAGGATTCACATAAAAGTTGTAAAACTGATTTAGCCCCGGCCAGGACACACTCAAACACAGGCGCACGGGATAGAGGGACTAGAGGAATGATATTAAAAATCAAATCAAATTTCAGCTCAACGTGATAAGAGGAGACGGCAGACCAGACCTGACCTGACCTGACCTGGATCATCTATCCTAACTGGCTGAAACTTACTTTAATCCTGGGGCAGCCCTTCCCTTTCGTACTCCGTTGATGATTAGAGGCAGTTTACACAAGTTTCTGTAAATCAATCTCCTGCCGGCACTTGGATCGATGCACTGCCATCAAATTACTATTTTTCGGGGCCGCGCAAACATTGGATTCGCTCTGCTCTTGTGCCAACTAACAAAATCTATGTGCTGGCAATTCAATGAGCTGGAGACAGGCCCAAGCCCTCCGGCTGTTTGGCAGGCTGAGCTGAGCTGAGCTGCATTTCATATCAGTTGATTAGTGTTTGGATGGAACGAGTGGGGTGTGGGCTGCTCTAACAATGGGACTAGGGCTGGGAGCTGCTGCTGCTTGTGCCAAGGATAAATTTTAATAATGGCTGCCACGCCGACAGGGCGAGAATGAAATGCGAGACGCCAAATTAGTGCCAAGCAATTAGATGGCAGCCAAATTGAAAGCAAATGAAATGCTCCGGCACTCACAAAAGCAACTGCAGCACTGGCTGTGGCTCCAAGTCTCAGATTCAGTTGCAGGCAATTAGCAGCAACACCCGTTGCCTCACTACGCCCCCGCTTCCTCCCTCAAGCAATCATTCTATACTCACATTTATGCTAGTTGCATCGCATGGCATTTGCTGTTCCAGTTGGGCCATGTTCTTGCCACTGCTACATTTTCAGTTAATTGCTTCAGTTGGGTGAAGAAAGGAAGTTCCTTGCTCTGGGCTGCAATGGAAAATAAAAGAGAGAGAGAGAGTAAAGTGAAAGATTGTCATAGCAGTAGGAGGAAAATGCAAAATGCAAATTCTGCCTTCAGCTGCAGCAATTGCTTAAACCTTCAGTATCTTATCTATTGTTTATGTAAATGGGCTAGAAATATTTTAAGCACCTTAAATACCAAAAAGATTCAATCTTGGCAGGCGAAGAAAAGGTTTTCCCTGCAGCAAGTGGATTTCTAATGAATTTAAACAATGTCCGAAATGTTAAATGTAATCGAGAAGTTGTGCCCTCAAGCTGCTGGCTTTTATTTGTGTAAATACCATCGTGTCCATTTGGCATGGCAGACACACGCTGCAGTGCTGGCAGTGCAGTAAGCCCCATAAAACATTATGCCACTCACGTATGTCTGGTAGGAACATGTCTGCTGTGCATAAATATTATTATGCGATGGATTGTTGTGCCCCTGGTCCATAATTGGCCATGACTATGCAAATTGCTAGCAGCCGCAAAGTATGCCGCACAAATAGTTTAGGCCACAAATGGCATTAAAATGAAACACGCATCAACGAAAGTTAATTGGAAATCTAGAGAGGAAACGAAATCAGAACCCAAAGGCAATGGCAAAGACAAAGGCAAAGAAAGGCAAACAAAGCACTGCCCACAAGCTCCGTATCAATCACAACAAAGCATACACACCCACACAGTGACACACACACATGCAGAGAGACACGCTTGGAGTGTGAGTGTGGGAGAATCATTGGCGGATAGGCTAGGCGGCAACTAAATTACAACCAATTTTTATTGCTGTGAAAACAAAAGGCGCAGCATATTATCACAAAATGGCGCTAGCAGAAGGAGGAGCAGGCTGTTTGCCGCTGACTTTGGGGCGTGGCTGTGGCTATGGTATTAGTACGAGTATCTGTGCCTGCCAAGCGCACGTTTTCACACAAAAAGGACACACAATAAATGATAACACATAAATTCCGCACATAAGTTTGTCCTGTTAGTGAGTGTTTCTCTTTCTCTTTCTCTTACTCACTCTCTCTCGCTCTCTGTGCGTGCCTATGTCTGTGTGTGATATCGTTAAAAGTCAATTGTAAACTTTCGCGCCCAAAGGCAGCAAAAAGCTTTAACTACACACACACACACACACAATGTGTCTAAGGCAGATCGAATTATAATGCAAAAGGCAACTGCCAGTCCCCCCTGCAGCAGGGCGTAATGCCACCTTATCAGTGGCAGTCAAATCAGAGCATAAACACACGAGCAACCAGCAGCGCATAGACGCTCCAATCGAATCGAATCGGGTCTCGGTTCGGGCCTCGGGTCGGGTCTCGGCTGCAGTGGGTCGGGCGGGGGCATAGAGGGGATAGCAAGACAGAAACGCATTGGAGCGGCAGCTGGATAACAGTTACATTGACATTGCCCACAGAGAACCATTCTTTGTGTCTCTCTGTTTGTGTGTTCGTTTGTCGCTGTGTGCGTGCGTGTGTGTGAGAGAGAGAGAGCACGCCTGCGCTGCCCAGCTTACACCAACGAATAAGAGTCACATGGATAGACACGCAGAGAGCCACACAGCAGCCATACAGCACTCAATGCTGCCGTCGCCCTTTACTGAGGCCGAGTCAGTAGCCGCGGCAAAGGCAAAAAGGAAAAATGTTTCTGCTTTGTTTTTGCTTTGGGTTTTTGGCCTGGGGTTTGCCTTAGCTTTTCCCCCATGCCCCATGTGCAGCCTTCACTCCCCACCCCCATTCGTGGGGCTTGTTTACGCTTTGCCGCATATGTCGCTGCCAATGTATTTAATTGTGAGATGCGCACAAAAGTAGGCACCGATTATTTCAGCCTCCTTCAGCATTTGTGGATCTCTTCTTGTGTGTTCCTGTGTGTGTCTGCGTGTGTGTGTTGCCTGTGTGATTGTCTTTTATTTATTTATTTATTTTGTTTGCCTTGCCTTTTACTGGCAGTCACTTAATGACGTAACAATTATCTTTGGACGCATGCTTATGGCACTCACGGGTGCGCTTACTGCAGCCAGCCTGAGGTTGCGAATTGAAACTGTCACGACACACACACACACAGGATGGTGGGTGGGTGTGCCCATATTGGGATTGAAAACTTTTTCAATTATGCAAAATGCCCCTTCATTTCATTAGGCACAAAGCGGCCTTAGCAGGAGCTGAAGCTGGAGCTGCTGCTGCTCTAATTTACCGCCCAGTGGGCAGGCATGTGTAGGTCCTGCTCCTGGTCCTGGCCTGGGTAAACGTTTTGCAAATAAACTATTTCTTATTCATAAACAGGACTTGGCGCACTCTAAACGACCACTTAAGTGTCTGCTCCCCCAAACAACATTAACGTTTCCAGCAACAACGATGTGGCAAATATGCAAGCAAGTCCTTTGCTCCCCCTCAGAGCATTACCCAGCATCATCCTCCCATCCACTCATCCATCCAGCCATATCCGGCAACGTTGTCGTCCTCGTCCAGTGCTGCACAAGCAGAGCGGAGCGCATGAATGGATGAGTGAATGGATGGCTGAATCGCCAGTGGCAACCAGACAAGCGAGCATGTGTGGGGCGTGGCCAGCATTCCCTCAGCATTGTTGATGCCACTGCCCCCTATCCCTGGCACATCTGTGAACTGTCGCTGCTGCTGCCGTCGTTTTCCTCTAAGTGCACGGCAAGAGCGCTCCAAAAAGTTCCTTCTCTCCATCTGTGCATGATTATTTTTGCATGCCACTGTGCGGCGAGTGGAGCGCCTCGAATATAAATGCCGCATCTTAGGGCCAGCCACCATTGTTGGTTGCCAGCAGCAGGACTCATGCTCATGACTAAGAGACGTCAGCGTGGCCTATTGTCTATATGCACATGTCCCTGTCTCTGTGTATTTGTTCTGCCATTTGTCAGGCCATTTGTATACAGGAGTCAAAATTGTTTCTGAATTCTTTTATTTGGGTTTACCTTGGGAAACCCTTCGACGTTGATTGGGTACACTCATCGATTGATGGAACCTCAGGGATGGCATACTGTGGGGCACTGTGCCTCAGCACATTTGTAATTAAGAAAGTTTTTAGCTGAAAGGCACTTAAATGAAATTTTAATTTATTTCTAAAATGCTGTGCCATACCCAGGGACACGAAAAACAATAGTCAAGGGGCACAAACAACAACAAAAAACAACAACAATGGCCAAAGAAAAGCAAAACTTTTCCCGAAGCCAAGTGTTGTCGCAGCATTGACAGAGACAAACAGACAGAAGCTCTGACTCTGACTGACAGACAGAGAGACAGTTGTCGCTAGAGACAAAGAGAGAGAGAGAGAACGCTGGAGGAGCTGAAGGAGCCCTATTAAATATTTAACCTTATCGCAGCCATTGCTTTGGCCATTGCAGGAAGTCTCAATGTGGCTGGGAGACCGCACAACAATGGAAACATTTTAAAAAGTGCCTCAAGGACACACCGCTGCTGCCACATTATGGCGCCTCATGAAACGCTTAAGCTATCAACACGATATTCGGTAATTAACCCGGCTAAATACGATACGACAAGAGGCAAGAGCAAAGTAAAGCCAGGCCAGAGCCAGAAACCAGTCCACAAGAAGCCAGAACGTGTATTCCCTTAATGTCGTCCTGTCTTAGCTGGGTGTGGGGTGGGGGCAAAGCCACCACCAACCTTCCTCCCATCTGTGCTGTGTGTGTTTGTGTTCGTGTGCTTCCTGTTTGTATTTCGTATCTGTGTCCCGCATTATCCTGATTAAAATGCTGCAATTTTTAGGCGAGTCAGGACTCGCACCATCAGCGCCAACTTTAACGGTCGTGCAGCCGCTGTTGTTATCAGAGGCAGGATGCATGAAGCAGCACCCCACCCACTCCCACACACAGTCCTCCCTCCCCAACCATACAAAGAGAGCAGAAAGAGGCCAAAGAGAGACCGACATCGCGTTAAAAGAGACAAAAGAGAAAGCAACCACGACCCGTGGTCGCCTGTGTGTGTGGGAGAGAGTGTGGTTAGCATTGTGAGTGTGTGTGTGTGTGTGTGTGTGTTGTGCTGTTGGTGAATTACCACAAAAATGAGAGACGGTAAACAACTTTTGCCCGACTCTTGGCCGAGACGAAGAGCGGCTGCCAAAAATCGCCCATTATCCATTTTTATTTTATCATCAATTTTATTACACACCAAAGTGAGCGGAGAGTGGAGAGGCGCAGCCATCGACATCAATGAAAAATGCCAACAACAAGAGTAACCAGAGTGGAAGCGGCTCCACCCACTCATACACCCCAACACACACACACACCACACACACACACACACGAAATACTTTCAAAGAGAGAGAGGATAAAACACACGCCCTTTTGAAAAACCTGTAATATGCGCCACAGTCTTAGTCCTAGCCTTTACACTCTTAGTTAAGTTCTGTTTGGGTTTTTGGTTAATTGTAGTCTGACTTATACGCACCTACAGTGGGGACTGCATTGGGGTGCAGTCTGGCGGCTCCTTGGGCCCAATTCCTGTTGTTTGGCAATGGGTTTGGGTTGGCAATGTATTTTGCTGAACACTTTTCGTTTCGTTTTGTTTGCACTTTGGCTCTGGCTTTGGCTTTGGCTTGATTCGCTTTTGTTTCTTAGAATATCATTTCGCACTCGAGTCACTTTCACGTTAAATCCTTTGGGGTTTGGGAGAGAGACACAAAGACACAGATTGAAAGGATTAGAGTCTGTTCTGGGTAATTGTTTGCGGGTTTATGCTGTTTAAACACTGCTCGTTAACGTCCTCACGCACTGGTTGCTGTTTGGCAACTGAAACTAGATCTGACAAGTGCCAAATCACCTCATCCTCAACGGCAAAATCAACATCCAAGCCCCAGCAACTACACATGTGCCATAATACATCATCTTTCGAGCACATAATCTTTTGAGCCAATCACCTAAGCAAATATTATTCAATTGAGCGAACAATAAACCCAATTTGCATTGAGAATATCCAAAGTGCGAGAGTGAATGCAGCTGTGTGTTTGTGTTGATTGAATCAACAGCAGCAGACAAGTAAACAGATTAAGATTCGGACACTTTAACTAGGCACAATGGCACTAGGCAGCCACCCCATTCGGACTAACTATCTCTATCCTACAACTCGTATTTCGCACTTATTCAATTGAGACATTTTGCTGAACATTGCTAAGTGAACCCAGAGCAGGGCAGTGGCAGTGGCTGCTGGTAATTAGCTCACAATTCTTGGAGAACACCCCAGCTAATGACAAAGACCTTCAGAACCAAGACAAAGTAGGTCGGGGCACGCCCACTAACTGTCCATATAGAATATCAAAAAGGAAAACTCAATACTTTTGAAAAACTTCATTATTTTCCGATTTCCTTTTTTTTTTTTTTGCTCAATTCTTCTTCTTCTTCTACTCCTTCTTGTAATTTCTTTGTCTGTTGTTGTGGCTGCTCCGGCCCTTGCTCTGCCTCTTCCTGCTCTGCTCTGCTCTCCTCTGCTCTGCTTGTTGTGGATAAATTCGGGATTTTTTGGGAGCGGCCATTTGCTTTTCTCTTAACATTTTCTGTCTGTCAGTCTTTCTGGTATGTGTGTGTGTGTGGTGTGTGGTGTGTGGGGCTGCTGGCTAAAGGTTTTTTTGTCTGTTAAATATTCTGAAACAAAAATACTGTGCAATGGCAAAAAAAGTAAAATTTCTGCTCTGCTTGGAGGTTGACTTTTGCCGTCTTTCCTTTCCCGAAAAGAACAAAAAAAAAACAAAAAGTAACATAAAACACTCCCACGTCTGTGGTGTGGCGCTGTCTGCACTGTGCGACGGGGGATTGATTTTTCTGCTGGGGGCTGTATATATGGCGGCGGCAGGCCCAAAGCGGGGCAGGAATACCCTGCCCTGCCCTGCCCTGCCCTAGCATACACGTTACTCTCGGGGGTTGGGTTGCGGTGCGGCTGTTGCCACTGATGACGCTGCCTTAACGAACATGGACCGACAGCACCATCAGTAACAAAAGAAGCACACGCAGACGGTTTTCCAAATGCACACACGTTTCCAATTTCCCGATTTTCCGCTTCTCCGCCGTAGTCTGGTCTACCGCACTGGGAAAATGACACACACTGACCGAACACAACCACACACACACACACACACACACACACACACACACACACAGAGACTGTGTGGGGATTACATGGTAGCAGAAGCAGCGACAGGCATGACCATTCCCATTTCCATTTCCACTTCCACTCTGCTTTGCCTATCCATCCTCTTGTCTGTGTTGCTGTTGTTGCTATTGCCACTGGCAGTGTTGTGGATGCCGTGCCGCCGCCGCCTCTGTGTGGTGTGTCGCCTGGACTATTTACCGAGCCTTGTTCCGTTAGCCGCCGTCGTGCCGTCACTCTCGAGTTGCAAATTCACTCTGAACAGAGTTCCGAATGCGAATATCCACCGTTGCTGCTGTGAATGCTTCGTGGACCCAAGGACTCGGCGGCGCAGAATGTCGCACGGCGCACCAGTTTGCGCCGCCCCAAATCTCTTTTGATGGCCGTAAAGAGCGAAAGAGCGGAAGCGAGTGGTGGATTAAACACTTGAAGTTGCGAATCAAAGCGAAACAGGGACCGGAACCGTAAACCGAAACAAACCGATTCAAATTTAACCGCCAATTAAAATGTAAAAATGGAAGAACTGCACTCCCAGCTTATATATAATATAATATAATATATAATAATATTTACTTTTCCTCTTTAGCTGCGCGCACGATTTTTAAATAATTTTCAATGTTAGCAGTTAACATGCAGTTAACATACATGTGGTTATTTAAATGAAAAAATATAAGGTCATAAGGTATACAATCCAATAAATAGGAGTATTTAAAGTAAGCCAAATTGATTCTTTAATGGGATTAAATTATTTGTTCAGTGTTAAAAGTCTCTGCAAGCTAATAAAAACAAATAGAACATCAAAATTGCGGAATTTTTCGAGAATTTTATACTTTATCGATAGTTCCGCTGGAAACTATGGCTGGGAAAACATCGACAGTGGCCACCATCAATAGTGGAAATAGTATAGGTATCCTAGGCCTAGAATTGTTCTACAATTTATAATGGAATTTTTGTCAAACCCTTGCACTGTTTGGGCTCTCGACTGGAGTGCAAAAATAGACTGTTAATGAGAATTTCGTTTTACACAAAATCAATCTCGACAATGCGGAACCTAAAATCTTCTTTTGCCAACAACATGCTAATATCAGGAATAATAATACATTTTTTCCATCGTTTTAAAGATCTTAAGGAGATATTGCTTAAAAAGGAGCCTCTTTTTTAGAGAATTGACCAAATTTATTAATGAGGCTTGCTTTTGCACCCACACCTATACCAACACTTACACATCAATCCATTAAATGACACTTCACGACTATGCAATTTGTTATCTCTTATACACGACCACACTTTTTAACTAAGCCTCATATTGTTTAAATTATAACAACATTTCTATTGCAACACCTTGCATGCCCTCATCAGCAACCATCGATAACAACATCATCAACAAATATCGACAGAAATACGTCATACCCTGTCAAGAAAATATCGACAGCCAAAGTACCAAAAATAAAAAATTTATATAACTTCTAAACAATATTGTCAGGCCCAGACACATAAACAAACCGAATTTTCGACTTCCAAAAATTAAATTTCAGTTATTCGGAAAACACTGCCCACCAGCGAAAGAGCTAAATTTCTGCAAGGCCTGCCAGCGAGAACATCAACAACAAACAACCTGTAAGACCTTGAGCAGCAATTGTATATTTTGAGGCGACAGACAATCTAATCTGTACTTTACCATCCAGGTGCTGTACTTGGACCATCAAAACTCAGACTAAATCATCATGTCGATCCGACGAGGAATGTCCACAACGGCCAGCAAGGAATGGAGGGACTACTTTATGAGGTGTGTTTGAAGGTCCCCTTGGGTACTCAGAGTTTCTAATTGATTTCTGCTTTCTCTGACCATCGATAGCACCCACTTCTGGGGACCCGTGGCAAATTGGGGAATTCCGCTGGCCGCCCTCGCCGATACACAGAAGAGCCCCAAGTTCATCTCGGGCAAAATGACACTAGGTAAGAGTTCTGATCAGCAAACTAGTTTTGAGGCGGCTACACGCGTGCTCAGCATCGAAAGTTTCCGTCGCAGATTTCGTAATCAAAAGTGGGCACTAGACAGTGTGATATGGCCATGTGCAAATCACTACTGGCTGTCTGATAAGCGAGATACGGTCGAGTCTGTCGAAGGGGCTGCTGATAACGCTGGCATTAATTGAATCCCACATATGCTCATAGATTACTGATCACAAAATGTTTCGCTTCCAGCTCTGACGCTCTACTCTTGTATCTTCATGCGCTTTGCCTACAAGGTGCAGCCCCGCAACTGGCTTCTGTTCGCCTGCCATGCCACCAATGCCACGGCCCAGACTGTGCAGGGCCTGCGCTTCCTGCACTATCACCATGGCGAGAAGGATCAGTCGGCGTAAACGATGTTCTGCCTACCCCCAGCACCGACCCTTCACCAGCCAACAATCACGGACGCGCGATGCCTCTTCAAATATTTACCCAACAGCAGCTACAGCAATTTACTGCCGACACGCAACGCACAATGCAAATTACTCAGTCCATCAGTCCACCAGTGGGGTAATTGCAATATTCAACACCCGCACCGCACAGCTGGCTGAATCTCATCACTGGACAAACTGAAGTTGTCATGCCACTGCGGTTGACCTTTGGCTGTAGCGTTTAATGGCGTTCGGAGAGTCTCATCGCGCTACGCACCCAGCACAAACCCCGAATCCAATTCCAGATGAGTCTAACCCAAAACGAAGCTACTGCACTTTTTGTTTGTAAATTATTGACTATGCCATAACACCATTATCGCTAGGCGGTTGAGTGCAATTTAGTCAAATTTAGAGAAAATATAGAATATAATTTTTATACGATTGGCCTTCCTGTATCAATATATATTTGGTTTAAAACTGAATAAACCTCAACTGAAAATATAATTCAAGTGACTTGAATCTGTAAAAAGACTAAGATTTGTTTTTTTTTATTTTGTCATGCTTTTTTGCATGCACTTTATTCAAACGATTACGCATATATGTATATTGTATATAATATAAGTGAATTGTTCAATTGTTCTTAACAATAGTACATACATATATATATTTTTTTTTGTGGGTGTTTTTTAACATTTTTTTGTGTTTGTTCATAAATGAGGCTAAAACAATACATTTTGTAATCTCTACCCATTTGAAGGGTTTTAATTTTTTTTTTTTGTGTGATTTTCTGTTTTTTGAGATTACGCTTAGGATCGAAAACATTATACGTGGGATACAAAAAACATGGTGGTAGAATTTTAAAGTTCTTGCAAACATAATAAAAAGTATTTTTTAAAAATAATCACACCTCGCGCCCTTTGTGGGGTGGGGCGCCTCTATTCATAATATGTTGGTAATTATGGTTTAGGTTTTACATCGGGTCAGATCAGATTCCCTGACGCACGATGTTCTCCCCAGCTTCTGGCGGGGATGCGTAATGGATATTGGATTCTTCTTCTCAACTTCAACGACAACGACAACTTATATAACTAGGCAAATGGATGACAGGAGGATCTCTCTCAACTTAGGCTATGCACCGCATATGCGACATCAGTAGGTAACGACAGTTCTATTTATGGCTACGAGAATCTAAGGCTAGCTGGCTGCTCAGTGCTCCTTCTTGAAGAAGGTGCTGTTGTTCCGCTGGCGGACCATCAGGTAGTTCTTGAACAGTTTCTCCTTGTGGTCCACCCGCTCCGACTGGGCCAGCAGGCTCTCGTACTCGGCCACCAGCTCTTCCTCCATCTTCTTCTCGACCTCGTCGCGGTTCTTCGTCTTCCGGCGCGATACGCGGCTGGCCTCGTTGTTCTTGATGCGATCGATGTATGCTTTGCGCTCCTCCTCGTCCATGCGGGACATCACCTCGGGGTCTGGTCCGTCCGCGTGCTCCTTGGCGGGACGGCCGCGCTTCCGCTTGGAGCTGGCGTTGCCGTTCGCCGAGGCGGTGACGCTGAACTGGGAGGTACTGGCGACTGAGTAGGCGGGGGAGGCTGGAGCGGTGAGAAAGCCGCCTAGCCCTGACTGGCAGGTTGAGGCTACGCTGGAGGAACACGCGGAGTAGTAGCTGTGCGGCGTGTTCGGAGCTGAGAAATCGGAGGTGGTTTCCTCCTCGGCGCTGCGCAGATCCTCGATGATTCCGGCATGTGATGTGATGATGGTGGCGGTGGCGGCCTCGGGCTGTGTGTGGAAGAGAGTAAATCGGTTAGGAATCTTCCACAGAATGGAGACGTTGCTGCTGCAGACACTTACCCTCTCAAAATTCAAGACATGCTCAATGATGTCGGGTGTGCTTATTGCTTCTGATTGGCTGAATGCAGGCGGTGACTGGCTGTTGATCTTGACCATCAGCTTGCTCCGCTTCTGCGCTTGTGTCTCGCCCACAGGGGCGAGCACTGCCGCCGAGGCCGTGCGCTTAAGTCCAACCAAGGGAGAGTTGGACAGGGTGTGTCGGATGGCCATGGAGACGCTGCTGCTGCCAACGTCCGATTCGGAAACTGGCTTGACATCGTTCACCTGGCCGAAGCCCAAGGACTCCTGACTGCAGACGTACAGGCTGTCGCCGTAGCTGTTCTCGTCGGCAAGCAGAGGCTCTTCGGTGAAGCATTTGGTGTTGGTAGATGTCTGAGAGAAAGTTGATAGCATGGGGTCTTGGGATCCGGTGAGAATGTCTTTGAGGTCGATGCAGTGATTGGGTTGATTGAAGTTGATGCCGCACATGGGGGCCATGTCGAGGGTTTCCTCTTCTCCAGACAGTTGCTGGAAACCGTAGGCATCCATATGAAGTTTAAAGTCGTCGAGGTTGTCGTTGTTGATGTCATCCATAACCAGATTGCACTGATCCATTTTCTTGGGCTCAAGCTCAATCAGATCCTCGGCAATCAGGTTTATATCAAAGTCAAAGTCAAGAATATCCGTTTCAGTAAAAATCTCCTTTCCGTTTTCGCTGCTACACGATGACGTTGCTTCTATGCCTTGCAGGTATTCTAGGATAAAAAAGAAAATATTATTAGTATGATTTATCACAACAATTTAACTTTAATGAACCTCCATAATGTGTGCGAGTGTGTGAAATAAAAAATATTTCAGAACCCATATTAAATTTAATTCAAAACCACTGAAGACGATCATAAAATATTTATATCGTTCTAAACGGTAAAATTATTATTTATGCACACTAAATTCCAAGTTCAGTTCAAATGTAGATGTAAAAGTAAAAATACACGACATAAACATCGTTCGGACACGGCTCAGTGGCGATTCTACATACATTTTACACAGAGATAATTTACTTCCTATACACAATATCGAGGGGGCGCCACCACATTCAATGTTGTTTGTTTTCGGGACTATTGGAAGAAGAGGAGTAGCGCAACAGTCTCGCACAATATTTGTCTCTCTTGCACTTTGTTGTGAAATTAAAAAGCAACGAATAACGAGTTGAATTTACGAAAAGGGATAAACAAATATCAAAATTGTTCAAATTTAAACAAAAGGGAAATTCTATGCACCAAATTAAAAAAATATAAAACACAGTTCGATATTTATGGATTTCAATCTGTTCAAAATATGCAAATATAATAAACTACTAATTCTAATTGCTATTGCTAATCTACATATATAAAACATTAATTCCTTTTTTCCCCCCGCAAAAGAAAAAAAGTGCATACTAAAACTTCAAAGAGGGGAAATGTATAGAGAGAGAGAGCAGAGAGCGAGAGCGCACTCACACATTGAAAATGTGCCGCATGACGCAGAGCAACAATTGCCGGCACAACAACCACATGAAAAGTGAACACGATCGATCGTGTCGAATATTTCGTACGACCTGCGCAACTGTTTTGCGTCTGGTTGGGGGTTGATAGATAATGCGACAAAAATGCTTTAACTAACATTTTCCCTGCTCTATTTGCAAAATCAGACGAACCAAACAATTGTTATTATTAATTCAGACACAAAATATTTGCAAATAAACATCTAGAAATTGGAGAGCAAACAAATAAACGGTTAATAACTTTGGAGACTGATTTCTGTGACGACTTCTTTTAGCCCAATATCATAAAATAAAAGACACAAATCCCAATATCTCAAGGGAAATATTTCGAAGGGGTCGCAATATTAAAACTCCAATAGATATTCACCTTTGCTGGTATATTTTGAATCGTCGGGTCGGTGAATCCCTCGCTGAATGCTGTTTTATCCGCTTACGAACTTAACGGTTGCAACGACTGTTTACGAATGGGGAGCCTTGCCGCCACCAGTGCCAATATCAGCGCGAGACGACCCAAGAGTGTGCAAGTGTATTTGTGTGTCGCTCGTGAGAGGGAGAGAAAGAGAGCGCACACCTACACAACCTACACCAACAGCTGACGACGCGACGTCGCTTAAGAAGTACGACTCGTATTGTTATCCCGCTCTGACCCTGGCCGAACATATGCATGGTGGAAGGTAGGGGAAAAAGATGGACAGAACTCTCTACCGAAGTTGGATTTGCCTTTGCTCGGATTTATTCTTCTGCCAATTACATTTATACTTGATAGCCATAGGCTGCCGAAAAGTAAGTTAACCCTTTTGGAATGCACTAATACATTTGCCTCTTGAATTTCACCAGAGGCACGCGGGTTTACTAATTGCCATTTATGGAGGCAGTACTTGTAAAGGAGTTTTAGTTGTTAAAACAATGGCACAAACAGTCGTTTAATGAATCATGCAAATAACAATTTTCAATGATTGTTTCATATTTTCAAATATCGAAATATAGAAGAATCGAACTGAGCAAAAAAATTTGATTGAATTACAAAAATTAAATAAGCAAATACCGGCAACGGCTCGTATACGCGTTGCATTTTGGCAAAACACATTCTATGTGTGTGTGTTTGGATACATTAACCTGTTGCCGGACATGCATATACATTCTTCATGTGTATTGATGTAGCGCTATCTCTGTCGCTCACAGAAAGAGATGCATGTATTGACAACTAAGAGAGCGGGTTACTGGAGCACACGCACACAAGCCTACTGAGCCTCACTCGCAAAACTATCCGATGTTTGGCTCGTTCTCCGCCTCTCTCTCAATGTTTTTGCAGATCATTCTTTTTGAATTTCACAATAAAATAAGTGGCCCTGAAAAGGGTTGCGGGGTAACTTTGACAAAGACCCGAAAATCTGATTGTTTAATTAAACATTTAATTAAATATGTTACGTATTTAAATCTGTTCAAATCTGATGAACGCGAAAATATACTAAATAGTGGCATTTGCCGGCTAGAAAAACGTGCTCGCAAAAATTTGGGTCATGAATCAGCTGTCTACTATGCACCTGAATTTGTTCACATGTGACATCACAGAATACATAATTTCGGGAAAGTACCTCAACCTCAAATCTATAAAATCGACTTATAAATTAAAGAAACGAACCGTGACCATATATGGACAAACACGTGAATAATATAAGGAAGTTACAACCGAAACAAAGAAAGAGATCAGGTGATAATGATTGGATTCAAAAAGAAATAAAGTGCAATAAATACGGTTACTAATTGCCATATAGGGGCAGTACTTGAAAGGGAGTAAAGGGACACCCAATGGAATTGGAACAGCTCATCGATGTGGCGACTTAAGACGCATTTACCAAACAGAATGTTATACTATATTGAGATCTATGGGCTCTGCGCCTACATGTCGCCTGGAATGCAACCACTTCAAACCAATATATTATTACCTATACACATGCAAAACTACCAGAAAATGGTTCAATTCTTAGAATTGAATCTATGTGATATATGTATTTAGCCCTAGAGTTCCATATTTAGATTTACATAGCGCTGATGTCATTACTGAAAGTTTCTTATCAATTTCACAGCTTCAAAAATGTGTAAGACAAGTGGAAAGAACAAAGGGCAACAACACTCTCTTATCCTCCGTTCAATAAACAAATTCTTTGAAAATTGCATCATTTGTTGTTATGCAGATCGAATTGCACTCTTACAAAAGTGATGAGAAGGAGCTGTATCTTCAAATTTATTCCTCTACTAGACATTATTTCCAGGCAAATGGAAGTTCATTGTACTGTATTAAGTTTGAAAAACTAAATTACGGACCAACCCTTTGTTTTTAGTGATATTTAGGGAATTCAAATAAAGAAATTGAACAAATGTAAACAGTCAGTACGAGCAGTTGGATTTTTCTCCAGAACATCGAACTTTCGTTGTAGAAAAAGGGGAGCCGAATCAGATGACAAAAATGATCACCTGTGAAGTATTTCACATGTCTAATATAAAACTTGTTTAAATGTTGCGTAGTAGCAGACAGACAGATCTAAAATTTCAAAGACAAACGAAGGAATTTTAAAAAGTTTTCTGGTTGAAGGAAGTATAGAGAAAGTTATGCCACTCAAAGATAAAACAGGGAATGAATTAGCAGCCTACGCAAAAGGCTCAAAAAAACAGAAAATTAAGAAAAATAGATGCACAAAATTGAAAGGAAATGGAAAATAAATACATGCTGAAAAACTTAGAAAACGGAATATATGGAATATTGAATTCCATTTACCGACAGATCGGGCTACGGACAAGGCGAGCTGGGGACCTGTCCCGCCTTGTTTCCGTTGCCGTATTCCATCTGGAGCTGGGCCATGGCCTTCAAGCTCGTTTCTTCAATGGGTCATTGCACTGTGATCTTCTTCATCGCCATCTAAGTGGTGAAAGTACCTTGATGTCCTTGGCAGAGAAGCACCAGCAACCCCACACTAACTGGGCGGGGGAGCTGGGCTAGGCTCGTGCCTGCTATCTGACTCTTTCTCTAACTGATTGTTGTATTTTTGATCGATTTCTTTTTTTGGCAAGTTATCGCAACAGTAATGAGAGAGTTCTGGGTACATATTTAACACACACAAAACACAGTACTCACCATCAATGAACACCGGAACATCTATCTCTTCAACTGTAGCAACTGTAGTAGGCATTGCTCCACTCATTTCCTGGCGGGACGGCTGCAAGTCTGCACCTGTTAGCTGGATACCAGCCAGTGAGGTCAGGGTCTGTGACTGGGGCGTGCTCGAAACCGGGACCGTTTGCGTCACCATCTCCATAGTCCGTGTACCGACTACTGTCGCCTGATCGTGGTGCGTTGTTTTCGGGGCCGAGTTGTGTTCTAGTTGGTATGTTGCAGTCCCAGTCGCTGGATACGTTGCGATAGGGGTTTCCGTCGCCGAATTCTTCAAGTTTACTATAGGCAACACCGAAGGCTGGGCCTGTTTCGCTGGCGGACGCGTTGGTACCGACCCTGGTAAAAAGGGTATTCTGATAATGCGTGTTCGAGGCGGACTGCACTCTGTCCCGCTTATTCTGGTCTTGCTGCTGCTGCTGTTGCTTGTTGGCACCCTGATCAGTATGATTCTTGGGTTTGGTTTCGTATTTATCACGATCGGTATGGTTGTTCTGCTCATCGACGTGCACGTAGCCGAAGCCTTCATAGGCACTGTTTGCGTTGTTCTCCTGTGAGAGCAGCAGCAGTTGGGCGATGAGTTTCTCTCGCCAGACAATGTTCTTACTGGTACGCTCCGAGGATCCTGGGACCGTGCGGGTGCGTGATCGTGAGCGTGTTTGTGTGCCTGTTCCGGTGCCTGGTTGGTTGCCCTGCCCGCCTCGTATGTTGTTGCCTGTACTCGTGCTGGCTCCTGGATCATCAATATTATATCTCTGAGATTTCCGGGATTCTCTCTCGTTGCTGTTTGAGGAGTTGGTCTCGGTGACAATACAATCGGACTTGTGGTTCGGGGAGCTCTGGCTGGTGCTGCTGTTGAAGAAGGTCTTGGTCTGCTCGTGGTTGGTTGTGTTGTTTGTTTCGCTCTTGGGCCTGGCTTGGCTGGTTTGGGATTCGACGGAGAATGCCATTTTGAACGGGGCTGTTTTCCGTATCAACAAATGTCAGCATATTTCGTTTTCGTTTCGATTTATATGGATTTTTTTTATTGGTGCACGGTTCGTTTCGGTTCGGCAGAATTGTTGCAAAAATTAATATAAATTTGTTCAGAAATTTATATAATTTTCAGACAGGATTTGTTGATGAGTGGAGCAAGCGCAGTTGAGAGTTTTCGGTTTATTTGTTTTTGTTTTTATGTGAAAGAAAATAGACAAAAGAAAAAGATTTCGTTATTACACAGATCGACGACGTGGGGAAAGCACGATCCTTGGTAGGGCTCGCGCCTCAAATCTTGTGGTTTTGGGTGGGTGGGTTAGCAATGTACAATGCCTGCCGCCTCCCGACCATGGCTCCTGCTGTGAGGTCACCATGGACACGGTCGGTCAACGTCACAGAGATATCGGTTGCGGGATATCTCTGATCATTGATTTGTCTGGCGTTGATTTTTTGGCGATTTCGAGCAGCTTGGATGTGTGATGCGTTGGTTTTAGATGCTGGGTGGGTGTGGGTGTCAGTTTTGTTGGGTGTGTGTGTGGGTGTTCTTTTGTAGGCCATGTTTTGTTAGTTGCTTTTCCTTTTTTCTTCATCTGGCGTGCTTTTTTTCCTTCCCACACAATTCCCATATTTTTTCTATTTGTTTCTTTGAATAATTTTCCTTTTTTGTTTTGTTTTTTTTTTTTATGGATTTTATCCTTTTTTGTATGGAATTGCTCCTTTTTTAAATGGAATTACTCCTTTTTTGAATGGAATTGCTCCTTTTTTGTATGGAATTACTCCTTTTTTCAATGGATTTAATCCTTTTTTTCTTTTTCTTTTCTTTTTCTTTTCTTTTTGTCTTTTTTCTTTTTTCATAAAACATTCTTACAAACTAAAGGTGCAAGGGCGAGCTCAACCAAGCATCAACCAGGCGCAAACATGAGAGGCAGTCTTACATGTATGATATGATTTGATTCGATCAGGACTTGGATACTCACTTTTAGTTGACCGTTAGAAAGGAACAATGAAATTGTTAGGATCCCTCTAAACAAGCTCTAAAAAGAGTCGTCGACACAAGTTCCCCGTTAGGCTGTAAATTAAAGAATGGAAGAGAAGGCACATTACTTATAGGGCCCACAACGTCATGGAGATCTCAAGTGATAAGTTTCGCAAAAGATTTGCTTTCGAGCCCTCTTCAAATGTAATTAGAGATAGTCAAGTTGTTTTCGCCAAATATTGTAGTTCCTTGTTCGATAGGGCCGCCTGCGCGCCTTTCAAACATCTGATAAGTATTCCCCCGCAAAAGCTTTTGCCACGCAAAAAACACACAAATGTATTTCACCAGAGGCATGGACATGGGCATGGCCAACAGGTCTTTGCAGCCAGTGGCGGGGGGGTGGCTAAGCTAATCAGCAGTTGACAACGCACGACCCCCCGCCCTGGCACCCATTCCAATTGTCATTTAGATAATTGCGCTACAGAACTTAGCCATGTATGTACATAAGTATGTATGTATGTACATGACATAGCTAGCTACATTATCGCACTTGAATATCAGAAATTGTTGTGCGGCCGCCGGTGCAAAACAACACCAAAAGGCAATTATCAAGCGATGGAAAATTTCCCCCCACAAAAGCACACGCGAGCTTTGCCTAATGGCACACTAATACCGGCACGTCGCGGCATGGCACGGCACACGTATTGCTTTATAATAACTATTGCCTCGCATATCAAAAGAAAAATCCCCCCAAAGCCCTGTCTAAATTTGATCAGAATTGTTGCTTGCAAGCCGTCCGCCTTTACCCCTCTGACGTCACTCGCTTACTTAAGCAATTCAATATGGCGGTCTTTTCACTCATTATACACATATCTACTATACATATATGTATATAACTTAGTATATAAACCAACACACACTTGTACACATCATATATGGTACATTTTGTATTATTTTAATATGGACATTTACTTACATTTAATTTGTAAAAATGTGTCTTCAAGCGCGGTTGTCCGGTTTTCGAAAACCCGACCGAAAAATGCACTTGGGGGATTTGTGATGCGCAATTTATTGGGTGGTTCCTGGCACCACCACTTTGATATTTGTTCGCCTTTGGCCGTTTCTACGATTTCTACGGAATACTTTGTTCCGACAATTGTCTGGTTGTTGCTCCACGTAGAACAACAACGAATGTTAGTTGTTCACACTTTGGTTCCTTTCTGCAGGAACTTTCTATTCTGTTCTGTTGGCTTGTATAAATTTCACTCAAGTTGTGTTGAAGAAGTTTTCTGTTCACTTTATTGCTGCGCTGGACTATAGTTGAACGCGGGACTGGTAATGTGTGAGTCAACTGACTGCTTGAACAATTCACTACGAATTGATTCGACCGTACGTTGGTCGTTCGCTACAAGTCGGAGAAAACGGAGACTCTGTTGGGCCTCCACCAGTTGTGTGAATTTAGATTTGTTGTGAAATTCAAAAAGCTCAGCGCAAACCAGTTTGCCATGTTCAGATACTTTTCGTGTGCCTGTGTGCATGTGTGTGCGACAGCTTTCACACCAACAGGCGCACACATGAGATACAAGTGTGCGAGCGAGACAACGCTAAAAATTCCCCCAGAGGCCAGCTGGCGTTTTGTCGAATGAATTTCCCTTCCTCCACTTGGCATGTGGTTACAAATGGAATTACAGATAGAATAAAAACTGAGGCCGGCCGGCAAAAAAAAACAATAACAATAATAACTACAAGTACATTGCTCGCTAGTGTCAATGCAGAGGCATGTCTAGAAATGTGTATACATTTTCGAATAAATTCATTTTATTACTGAGACAAAGCCTGCGTGCATATGATTCATTTGTCGCTTTGAATTATATGTGTAGAGCATATGTTTGTATGAGTCAGAAATGCCGGTCAACTGACCTAGCGTAAGGTACATTCTGAATTGAATGGATAGAACAGATTTCTAGGTACAAATGAAATGAAGAACAGAGTATGAAAATTGTTCATACTTAAGCCTTTTTGTCTATAGAATGTAACACGTATTTGATTTTATGTATACCCTGCAGTTCTTTTAGATTCGAGAATAGGCAATAATTTATCTATGCAGAGCAGATATGTATATTGATCCTATTGTCTATACATTATTTCTATATTCCACACATGCATAACTCATTTTGTAGCAATTTCAATGTTAAAGCACCTTGCAAGGTTTCGAACTTTGAGGCCCACGACAATGCAAGAAACGTTGACATTCAAATATGGGAAATTTCTGCGCATATGCTGTCTCGCTTTTATAAAGCTGCATTCCCATACACACTCAAACGAAGAGCTTTCGTGCAGTGGTGTTTGCAAGCAGTCGCTTGTTGGTGTGCGCAGATAAAAGCTGGCTGAATTCTCAGAATTAAAAAGCTTTCATCTGTCGACTGCCCACAACCATACACACCTCGAGATATGTACATATATATGTGGGAAGCTTTAGCCGATAATTAAAGAAACTCATGAGTCATGCTGAAAAACAGAAATCACCAAAGCGAAGAAAGCTCCAACCAACAGACGTATGAGTACGTTGGTTGGGTTGGCAAAAAAAAGAGTGTCATCATGTGATATTTGTAATGCGACTGACTGTGAGCACTAATCGCGTGGGGTTTAGGTCTGGGCCACGTAGTTACAATACAAACATAGAGCTTAATTATAGGTCTGTTTGCTCCCATAGGTGTGCAGAATTCGTGGAAATTTTTGCCGAAAACGTACACTCCACAGAGGCCCACAAGGCGAATTGCGAATGCTAATCTGGCACCGCGCACCGACTGGCACGAGATCTCCCTAGGAATCGAAAACAAGCAACAACAACAGCCACACTTTGCTGGCAAACTGCCAAATTAGGAATAGAAATCCGTGCTAAGGCCGACTCACGATGATTCGGCAAATTTCTATCACAAGGGATTTTTTTCGTATGCCCAAAACTCGTACTAAATTGTCGAGCATGAAGACACTTCATTTGCTTCCCTGTTTGGAGCCCATTTCTTATCACGTATTTCTAATCAATGCCTTTTATCTGATCGGTGATCTTAAAATGTAGAAGCGTGGTGGTTCGAATATACTCGTATTTATGCGACTATGACTAAGACTGAATATATGACTTTGTCATCAAGAAATCTAAGGTATTTCCTGAAAACAAGACCAAGTTTTATTTTAGTTAGGTCCTATGTTTGACTGGCTCTAGAGTGTAGAGTCTACATACAATGTAATATGCCTGAAATGTAGGATACATTTGTAGGTGAAGGGCTCAAGGGCTGAGTGATTAATAGCCCTCACATACAGCATATAGTATCGTGAATACCCTTACAAAGCTCATTAGGATTTCGCTGGTCAAATAAACAAAAACACTATTTGTATGGTTACACTATTGTAGAGTTTACCTTTCCGGCTGTCATAAGAATATGACTTATAAAACCAAACCCATAAGGGTATATCCGTATCTCATGTAAGTTTACAATAGGCCTAAATTGGAGGGCTCGTCAGTGTAAGTAGTTTGTTCAGTGGCAGATGTCAATGACATTGTCGGCAACAAATGTGTCTGGAGAATGTTGTTTAGGGCTTAGGAACTTACCGTCCATCATGTTGCTGCCGGGGGGGCGAGCAAGTTCCGATGACGACACAAAAGGGTGTTCCTTGGGTTGCAGGATCTGTGTATGTATGTATGGTGGTCTGGGCTGGAGTATGAGTTTATTATTTCTCAATGAGTGCCTCAAAAGCGAATAAAAGAACTGCGACGAATGTTGCCCCGAATGGTGTCGTTCCGCTTCTTTCGTAGCAACTTCTTTAGAGTGTTCTTAGTGCCGGTGGTGCCACACTTGGTGGTATAGTTACAGTGATTATTATTGTTATTGTGATGCCAGCCACGCATACGCATACACATGAAATTGTTTAGCATGGGAACTTGCTGCTGAGAATGTTGCGCACACATGAGGAGGACAACGGCAGGCGAATCTTGCATGACGTCGAAGCTCAGCTTGGGGTTCGACTTCTTCTGGTTGCTCACTATCGTGGTTGTTGTTGTTGTTGTTGTTGACACAGCGAACATAATATTGGGGCGATAAGCCAATCTATAGATAACGACTATAGGCAGATCAGATCTGTGTGGCTATAGTTGAACCGATTCAGATAAGGGTTTGGTTTTCACGAAGTTTTTATATCGCACACACGGGTTATCTTATAAGCATCTAGATACAACTCTTATCTCAGATACTACAAGTATGTAAAGTATATATAAATAAATTGTTGCTTTCTGCACTGGACTTTGCACCAAATATTGAGTGTTTGTTGTAATAATATTCACACAAAGGAAATTACTGTGATATGAATAAGAAATCTTTAAAACGATGTTCAGCGCTTGATGCCATTAAGAATCACAATTTGATAAAGGGTTTCGTACCGCAATTGAATCGACGATTTCACTAATTCCGCACTTATTTGCTCACAAAAGGATGTTTCTGCTGTTGGCTCTCTCAAAAGGTTGTTCTGTTCACGACGGCTGAAGTATTGTTACTAACCCGACTCTGCTTCGTCGTCGCTGGACGATTGCTGTCCGGGGTTGATAAAAGTATTTTTGCTGACGTATTTGCCATACGCTCTCTGTCTGCTTTATTTTCCACTAGATGTGTTAGCTCTCTCAGCTCTGGTCGTGCCCCCAAATGTATCTATGTGTGCTGTTGATCTCTGTTTGATGCCACAAGCTAAAGGGGAAAATTTGCCATTAAGGCATCTAGGTTCATGCAATGCATAGTTTTACTTCAATGGATTTTACTGCCAAAACGTAGTTTGATCTGGATATGATATGTGTAGAAATTTATAGTGAATCATTTGTTTGAACAACATCTTTAAACGTGTGAAAAATATATAATTTGTAATAACTTATCATGCAATCACTTCATTATAGTGCGAAAGCCGCAATCTACTCGTATTCACACTCATACTACTCGTAGAGATAATGTTGCGGCTTATCAAGTGCCGTCAAAATGCCCGCTGATAAGAAATGGATCTGATAATTCCCATTTGTACCTGGCTGTAATTTGTCATGTTTTCCCATAAGGTTAAAAAACTGAAATGTTAATTATGCAGAGTATTCACGAGATAGCTATGGAAGCCTGCCATGACCGCTTTGTTGTGTGTAGGGGAACCTGTTTCGGCGAGGCAGTAACAACAGCATGCAGCATGCGTAGCGTTGCTCTTTCTCTCTCAGAGAAACACAAACTCTGTTCGACTCTCTCTCTCTCTCTCTCTCTCTCTCTCTCTCTCTCTCTCAATTTTGCTGGTAGGTCAGATTGGCTGATGCAACACTTGCTACGCATTTCAACAGATGGTTGGGGCCACAGCTGATTTGCTGGCTGTTTTCGACTTTTTGGCTTGTTGCCAAACTGACAGTGGGGGCGCCAGCAGCATGTTGCCAGGCTGCAAAGCACGTGCAGCGGAAAATGTTGACAAGCATTTTGCATTGAAAGTTCTGGCAAATGTGAAACAACTACGTCACACGAGGGTCGGCTGAAAAGGGGGTTGTTGGCTCAACTGTCTAAAATTAACTAAGCGGCAAATGATTCATTTCATGCAGGGGGGTAGGGGGTGACCACTTATGTAACGCTGAAGAGCGCTGCAAACGCTGTTGACATTTGCGTCTTTATTCCCCATGGTGATATAATATAAAAGGAATCATCATGTGTGATGGGGTTTGGCTGTGGAAGAACTAATAACTGACGTGGTTCAAATTGGACATTTTGTAGCTAGTCAGTGCGGTATGATAAAATTATATTCTAATACGTGTTGATTCCCAAATGGACTGTGCTAAAACTGATCAAAATTACATACAATGTTTATCGTAGTTATAATGTATGGATGGAATCTATTTTGAATTCCAATCAGGATAAAGTTTAGCGAAACTGTTTGTATGTGCAGAAATACTTCCTTTAGATAGTTCTAATATTCCTTTCCGTTCTATCATTCCTTATCCACTGAAATATTCTAAAGAACTAAATAATATTCTAAACCTAAATGTTGTTTAGTTGCTTAAATGTTGACTATAAAATAAATCGAATTAATTTAACATTTACATCTGTATGTAAACAATTCAATATAATTTTTAGGACTCAAAATAAAAGTTACTATTATATTAAGAGTGTTTGAGAAATTATCAAAAGTCAGGTAGGTATAAACACCAATGGCTGTCATATGTAACGAGTGTGCACTGTAGTCAACCCGCTGTGAAAGAAAGTCGAACAAAGTGAATGTCTGTACCTCCAGAGTCTAGAGTCTTTGAAACTGTATTAGTAAGCCGCGCTCCCGCGGAGCCCGTGAGCTGTGAGAGGGAAGCAGATTAAAACTGGAATTGAATGCGATTGTGACTGGGAGTGGAGGTGGCCGTGAGCGAGCCGGAGAAATGTGAGAGCAAAGGTTTTCTGCTGAGAATGCTTAAAAAGTATTGGAATCATTTGGGCCTGGCCTCAGTGCGGTGACAACGTTCATAGGATTGGCTTGTGGTTTTAAATTTGCTGCGATTCGAACTGGAAGTTGAAAATTTTTGGGATGCGGCTATTCCTCACATTGCTGGCGATCCTAGCGCTCGGTGGCAGCTACTCCAGGGCAGCAGAGCCGAAGAATGTGCTCCTCTTGCTGGCCGATGATGCTGGCTTTGAGATGGGAGCTTACCTGAACAAGTTCTGCCAGACGCCGAATCTGGATGCCCTGGCTCGACGCGGTCTGCTGTTCAACAACGCCTTCACCTCGGTGAGCAGCTGCAGTCCCAGCCGCGCCCAGCTGCTGACTGGGCAGGCCAGCCACGCGAGCGGCATGTACGGACTCCACCAGGGAGTGCACAACTTCAATGTGCTGCCGGAGGTTGCGTCGCTGCCCAATGTGCTGCGGGCGCAGAGCAACGGGCGCATTCTCAGCGGCATCATTGGCAAGAAGCATGTGGGAGCTGCCGCCAACTTCCGCTTCGACTTTGAGCAGACGGAGGAGCAGCACTCGATCAACCAGATTGGACGCAACATCACCAGGATCAAGGGCTATGCCCGGGAGTTCCTCAAGCAGGCCAAGGACCAGCAGAGGCCCTTCTTCCTGATGGTCGGATTCCACGATCCACATCGCTGTGGCCACATAACCCCACAGTTCGGAGAGTTCTGCGAGCGTTGGGGCAGCGGGGAGGAGGGCATGGGCAGCATTCCCGACTGGAAGCCCATCTACTACGACTGGCGCAATCTGGAGGTGCCCGCCTGGCTGCCGGACACGGACGTTGTACGCCAGGAGCTGGCCGCCCAGTACATGACCATCTCGCGACTGGACCAAGGCGTGGGCCTGCTGCTGCGCGAACTGGAGGCTTCGGGGATGGCCGACCAGACGTTGGTCATCTACACCTCCGACAATGGGCCACCCTTCCCCGGAGGACGCACCAATCTCTATGAGCACGGCATCCGGTCGCCGCTGATCCTCAGCTCGCCACAGAAGGAAGATCGTCATCACGAGACAACGGCTGCCATGGCAAGTCTCTTGGACATTTATCCCAGCGTGCTGGAGGCCCTCCAGCTGCCAGCACCTAATGGAACCAAGTTCAGTGGCAAGTCCCTGCTGCCTGTCCTCAGGGAGGAGCCGCCCGCCAAGGAGAGCGATGCGATCTTCGGTAGCCAGAGCTACCACGAGGTGACCATGGCCTACCCCATGAGAATGGTGCGCAACAGGCGCTACAAGCTGATCCACAACCTCAACTACTGGGCGGACTTTCCCATCGATCAGGACTTTTACACCTCGCCCACCTTCCAGCAGATCCTGAACGCCACAATCCACAGACAGCCCCTGCCCTGGTATCGCACCCTCCAGCAGTATTACCAGCGTCCCGAGTGGGAGCTCTACGACATCAAGATGGATGCCTTAGAGCGGAGCAACCTGGCGGACAAGCCCAAGTACAGCGGCACCCTCAAGCAGCTGCGCCAGCAGCTCTACCAGTGGCAGGTGGACACCAAGGATCCCTGGCGCTGTGCCCCACACGCTGTGCTGCAGGAGCAGGGCGTCTTCAAGGAGGCTCCCGTCTGCCTCACCCTCGGCCACGAGGCATTGCAAAGTCCCAGGCGTAGGATCCTGACTCAATACGAGGAGTATGTTGTTGTCTAGCCACTCCTGAAGTGTTTTACAATATGCACTAAATCTTATCGCAAGAGCGAGCCAAAGTGCTGTTAACAATGAGTACTGAATTGTTGATGGTGCTACTCACTCCGCTGCTACACTGCTCAGCAAAAGTACGTGCACAGTAGCAGTCCATACATTAAAAACTATGAAGAAGGTGCTCTTAAATTAAATTTGATTTAATAATATTATATTATATTCCAAATGTCAGCTAGAACTTAATAAAAAAGATTCAAATTAAACAGAAGTAAACGGAAGTCGCTTGGCGTTGTAAACCAAGAAGTGAAATCTAAAGAGTTGCAAAAAGAAAACAAATTCTGAAGAGTGTAACAATCCAAAGGGCAGATAACAAGAACGAATTTCCTTTGTTATTCATTTCCCCAGTGGTGCTACATTGTCCCACAAAAATGTGTGTTATAGCAAACCCACAACAAATGGCTTGCGAAATGAAAAAAGTCCCATGCTAGCGCTCGAAGGTTGCGTTGCAGCATCCTGCCAACAGACAAATATATTCCTGGCCGCATGACCTCAGCCACTTTGGGGGTGTCAAGATGGAAGGACTTTTGGGGTGGTGTGCGTCACGTTTCAATGTCATGCCCATTGTGGAGCTGGCTGACTGGGGGGTTTATTGGTTTATTGGTGGCGCCGCTGCCAGACTCCTTCCTCCCCATCTGCCGTGCAGCTTCCGATACGAGTCAGTGTTACACAACATGCACAGACCTCATGGCTGTTGGCCAAGGCTGTCACTGGGGTGGTTGGGGCTGGCTATGGGTGGGGAACGGAAGCGCCATTCGGCTTAAGGTCAACATGGAAATACCAAAGAGTAAACTGGGTTGTGCGTTTTTTGTTTGTTTTCTCATTTATGACTTTGAACGAAAGACACATTAAAAATTAGACTTTATTAATTTGGTTTTGCATAAATTAGGTTCTTCAGTTTAGCGTAATTATTATGTGTGTATATTTTTTATATTTGTATATTATTTAAGTTACCGCCCACACAAATGCACAATTACAATTATTATTGTTGCTCTTCTGGCATCGATAAAATATTTATTCCGATACTGGGACACCGCAGACGGAGACGCCCTCTGGAAATGATCGGGGCTGGGCCTGCATCTGCGGCTGCCTTGTTTCCATATATACTTTTTGTTAAATCTTTTTTGTTTGCTCTTTAACTAATTTATTATCAACACAAGTTGCATGGATTCTTTGATTCAATTTCGCTTTATACGTAAATATATTATTGTATACGTACACATACTATATCTTTGCATTCACATATACAATAAATATGTATGTACATTCGTGTGTGTGTGTATAGATCGCATACGTATCGCATATGCCAACATGAGACTATTTTAATAATTTTTATTTAAATTTGTTTTGTGGTTTGTTTATTCGTTCTGGGTTCCATCTTTCAATCCTCAATCCTCAATTCTCATTTCTCAATTTCAATTTCAATACATTTATTGCTTTTGTATGTATATAATTTGATCTATATCTGCGGTTAGTAAACGCTTTTAGTTAGTAGGTTTTGTAAGTGTTGGTTGCTATGCTTCGATTGACTTGACTGGTTTCGCTTACGTGTACAGAGTTTTATTATTATCAACATCAACATCCTTGTGGAAATCGTTCAACTATATGTATATATATATATATCTAGGTATATATGTATCCGTATATGTATGTATGCTGGTTGGTATTGTTTAGGAGGATTCTGTTACATTTACTTTGCTTCTAGTTTAGTGTTTATCATCTCGTTAATTGTTTTATATTGTATTACGTTGCTGCTCAGTATAATTTATAATAAATACATAATAATAAATATACATGTAGATAATACGCTTAATAAATATATTTATATATATATATTTGATTTCATTTATATATATAATAGTTATGTATATAAATAACAAAAAAACAACACACATAAAAAGGAGCAAAAGGTAGGATACGATACAAATTTGCTTTGATTTTGTTATCCTTGAATCTTGAATTATTCTTACAATTTTACAACGAACATCGAGAACGGATTGGTATTGGCATTGGTATTCCGTTTGACATTTAGAATTTAATTGAATAGAATAGAATAGAGTGTGGAGGGGGGAGTATTGTTTTCGCACAAATATGTATGGTAAGGATAGGTATATGTAGTTTAGGTATTTGGGTATCCAATAAATAAGCTTTGGGTATATGCATGATGTGGATAGGTAGCGCTATAAAGGGATTCCCCCGCATAGAGAGCTCTTGTTTAGAGTTAGAGATAGCTAAAATTACAACAAACGATGGGCTTTTGGTTAAGAGTTGTAGGAAGAAACAATATCATTTGGGGCCTGCCTCTGAAAACACTATGAGTATGGGTAATTAATTAATTAGTTCATTAACAAGAGTGCCTACTGTTGTCCGTAATGTTCCGGTACTTGCTCTTGTGCGGAGTACAAACAGAACATCGCAGATACATTGTACATGTGGATCCTAGAGCATGCAGAGCTCGAATTGAGTTGGAGCAACATTTGCCGACTTCGAAGTAGAATACAAAATGGAAAAAAACGCAAGGAAATCGCCTTTCGCTTGTAACACTTGTAAATTTAGTTAGTTATACGTACAATATTAATTTAACTTGTAATTCATTAGAGTGTTTGTTTGTTTTTTGCTTGTAATTATTGTGTTGCCAACTGGTAAGATTTTCGCAATTTGAATTTTGGTTTCCTTTATGTGGTAATCGTATGTGTGTAATGGGTAAGGGCATGGGTATGGTCAGTATGCCTGCATGCAAATGTCGTTTATGGCCACGTGAATGTGCTGAATGCTAGCTAGCTAAGCCGTAAACATATTTCATCCGTATTATCGTATCGTAACCGTAGTAACCCGCATCTAATCAACTATATGTATGTGTGCTGCCAAACTTTGCGCCTCTAATGGCGAAACCAACATTAAGGTTATTGTTCTCCACCATGATCTACGACTTCAGCCAATTTGATAGGTTTGATGGGGTTGAGGGAGGAAGCTGATAGCTAGCTGATAGCTGTAGCTGCTTAGTTGCCATTGGGCAGGGGTACCTGCACCTGGACATAGGATTGCGGGAAGTAACCGGTGCGGCCATTGACGGCACCCTCATACCAATTGTCGTCGACGCGATTGAGCAGCGTGATTATGTCGTTCTCCTTGAAGCCGAGCTCACCGGGATTCTCCGGATCGAAGTCGTAGAGGGCTTGGCAGCAGGGCTGCTGCTGGCGCGATGGTGTTACGGCCATCGACTTTGCGGGCGAGCGCATCGGCGAGGGCAACGGCGAGGCGCTCGAGCTAATGTGGGACGGCGTGCCGTCATCAATGAGGCCGCCGCCACCGCCGTCCAAGTTCAGATCGAGCAGCGTCTTGGGGACAAACTCATTGCGTGGCCGGCTCTCAGCCTCGGATCGTTTCTCCTGCAGCGTCTCCTGCAGGCCACGTAGCACATCGGCACACTGAGAGTGAAAATCGTATAGTGCCTCGGCAAAAGTCACCAATTGTGAGACATGTTCAGTGTCGTTCTCCAACAGATTGAACATGCCTACCTGTGCCAATTGCAATGATTCGGCGAACTTATCCTCGGCACCACGAATTTCATCATCTTTGGCCTGACGGCGACGCTTGCAGTCGAAGTCGAGGCGCCGGCCCTGCAGCTTCTTGCGATGGTGCATAACCTCCTTGAGGTCTTTCATCTGCATATGATGCAGGGGCTCCAAAAAGTTCTGCTTGATATTGTCGTCCAGCGAGTACTTGACGTCGGCCATCTGTTTCAGCGACTCGCCAAACTCGACGAGCGCCTGCGCGAACACGCTGTTGTCCTCGCCGAGCTTCTTACCATAAGTCAGCATACATTCGGCCAGCAGCCCTTCGGGCTGTGGATACGTGTTCGATTTCGCCTGCCCCGACAGCTTCGAGATGCCCTTGACGGCGGCCATCTTCGCACGCGCCGTCGGATTCGGCTGCAGGAACTCCTTCGTCTTCAGCTGCAACTCCTCCACCAGCTCCACGGTCACGTCCGTCTTTCGCTCCATCTCCATGAAGTCCATGTCCAGCTTGGTGCCCTCGGCGCCACCCATCTTCTCCGTCATGTACTGGTTCGCCTTGTTGATCTGCTTCTTTAGTCCAGCGAAAGCCATGCTGATGCTTTTCTCTCTCTCTCTCTCTCTCTGGTCACTAATGTGGAAATGTGGATGTAGATGGCACCTGGTTGTCCGCCTGCTACTGCTGCTGCTACAGCTGCTGCCTCTGCGACGCGGTTGCTGTGAACGGGTTGGTTGAGTTAGTTGACTTGCCTGCTTTTACCGAGAGAGACTCAATTTCATTGTCGATATCAATTGATGATTTGAGGCGTCTGCTGTGTTAGCTGCGCGTTTCTATTTTTAACGTTTGGAAGACTTACGCGGCGTGCACTTTTCGTCACTTTATGCTCTGGGCGGCGTTGCTGCTGTCGCTGCTGCTGCTGCTGCTGCTGGTCTCCGCAGTCACCTACTGCTGTGGGGGTGCTTCCGTGGGGGTGCTTCTTCGGCCGCGCGCGCGTGTATATGTGCGGGTGAGTGTATGTGTGTGTGGAGGCTGTGTCACAAACGTCAAAGAGAATATTAATTCGAGTTCTACTTTTTTTTCCTCCAGCACTTTCACTCGCTTAGCCTGCACTGCACGTTCTGGCTTCTCTGCTTCGCTCTGCGCTGCGTCTGAATGCGATTCACCTAGACTCGATTTTTTCGCAGAACCTTGGTCTGCGTAATTTTTGAAGGACTGTCGTTACTACTATTTCTCCCTCTGGCTTCTTGGGGGCTGGGGGTTCGCGTTTTCCAAAAGCAAAAATCAATATCTCAACCGTGTACAACAATTTCCGAATAGGGATGGGGAACTAACACGATAGAACAATGTATCGATACGTATTTTCATCGCGTTTAACATTTTGTCGAACTACCATTTCTAGTGTACTGTAAAAAAATACAGGGTTGCATGGCTGTGCTAGTCGATAGCTTGGCGGTCTTTTTAAATTGTTGAAACGTGATGAATGGATGGTGGGGAGTGGCTGAAAATTTCCATGAAAATAAGACTGCTGGAATGTTAACACTGAGTAATGTTGCATGTATTTACAGAAGTTGTCAAATTCAATACATATTTACTGTTTTAATGTTATTTTCGAATGTTGGCGGCAACTAGAACCCACTGTAGATGCTCCCGCTGTTAACTCGTTAACAGAGTCTGTAACAATTCACATTTCCCGCCCAAATCGCTAACAGATTTTATTTCAAAAATTAAATTAATTTATTGAAAGATATTTATTAGCGTAAATACAAAAAACAGCGATGACGTCATCGCATGAGGCTGCAATTTTTGTCCACATTCTTGTTTCCCACTTCGTATCTACTATCTATGAAGATAACCCACCCGGTACGGGGCTCAGCCAAACAAACAATGAACATGTAAATCAGTTCAATCGCGGTAGCACGGCAGATATGGTGCAGATAAGCTTGTACACCCATCTTGTTGTTAATTGCGTATAAAAGCCCCCTCCACAGGCCGCCAGAGCATTAGTCTATCCGAAAACCAAACGACTGAGCCCCACACTCAGAATTAAAATGAAATTCGCAATTGTTCTACTCGTGGCCAGCATTGCCTGTGCCAACAGTCAGGTAAGGAGTGGCAGATAATTCCAATTCGGACTCCAAAAATAATTATAATTATTTCCTCCATCCGCAGGTGGCACCATCTCCCGGTGGCGGCATTGCCAACAATCCCTTTGCGGCTGCCAATCCCTACGCGGCTGCCTTCAATCCCTTTCTGAACGGACTCTTCGGTAGTGCTGGTGCTGGTGCAGGAGCAGGCGCGCCAGTGGCTGCCACTCCACCCTTCGGTGGCGCTTCCATCTCATCGTTCTTCCAGTCTGTGGTGCTGCAGCGCGAGGCCGAGCGTCTGCTCAGCCAGCCCAACTTCCCCACCGATCTGGCCGAGCGTGTCCAGGATGTGGTGGCCAATTCCCAGGAGACGATTGCCGGCTGCAGCACACCCGCCACACTGCCCTGGCTGCAGATCCGTTGCGTCAAGCCGCTGCTGACCAACGCCAAGAACGAGCTTAAGCTGATCGATGACGAGTGGAAGGCGCGCCAGGCAGCAGCAGCCGCACCAGCCACAGGCACAGCCTAGAGTTTCCCTTTTATTCCAGTATTTAATGCCTTAATTGTTGTAGTTTATGTTTAGCTAAGGGCAATCGACCAAAGTAGTTTGCAATAACAATCAAATAAGCTCAATGCTGGAATTCTTTCTCTTAGTTTCACTTGGGGGAGCTGCTTTGATGTGGCTGCTTGGGCTTTGCATTCTTCGCTTTATTACATTTCCCATTTAGGAATTACAAGATTTGACGCTGCTTTTCGCTTGCCTGCGACTCGAATCGTCTCGATTTTGGTTGGGTTTGGCAGAAGTTGGGAAATACTTTGCCTGTTCGCGTCACAATAAGTTGAAGACGACCTCGAACCCATTGCTCCTTGACCCTTGCTGCCTCCTCGCTGCTAATGCTGTGGCGCATAGTTGAGTCGCCGAGTTTTGGGTCTTTGGGTTTTGGAACTTGACGCATTTTGGTCAAATATTTGAGTTCCGTTGCCTTTTGATGCTCGGTCTTGGTGGCCCTTTTCTGCATTTATCAATTTGCTGTAGACCTTTGGCCTGCCAAATGGTTTCCAGTGCATGATTTGGCTATGAATTGGCCCATGGAGAGTCCGCAGAGCTGATGTCGAGTGCTGATTTATGCGCTGCAGTCCAGCCTCAATTATCATTGCCCAATTGTTGTTCCTGCCTCAACCGAAACGCCTTCGCCTTCCACTGCCCCCCACTGATAAGTGTTCGTCTCCCTTGCTCGATTCGATTCGATTCGATTTGTTATGGCATTTGCATATGAATTCCAGGCTGACCCTCTGGCTCTGGCTCCTAAATGGCTCGGCTTAACGAGCCAAAGACCCGCCGCAAGTGACCAACTGGCAGGATGCAGGAGGATCGATAAGCCGAAAGAGAAACGGACAAAGCCCGGGCAAAGGACAGAGGTTGTAGGGATTTAATTTCAAATTCAAATCTGTAATTAAATGTAAATTTGAAACACAAATCCCCGCCAGTCGCTACCCGCCACATACACAACAGGAAGGATCTGGTGCGAGTGCAAAGTTTGAGCCACTTAATTGAAATATTTTGAGATTTGAAACTTGAGTTTTCTCTGGCTGTTGTCATTACAGCAACAGAAACAGCATCAAAAACAGCCACCGAAATCTGCAAAGTTTCGTGTAGTGTTGGCCGCGAGTCGCCCCAAATGCTGCCCCAAATTCTGCCCCAACTTCTACACCCAACTTTCCTAAAACTGAAACTCACAACTGTACCATCCCTGTGCCCTGTGTTTTGGTAATGCAAAAGTTGTGCCAGAGCAGCAGCAGTAAAAAATGTAAATGCAAAGAGTCCAAAATGAAATCCAGCCGCATTCGGGGCAGACCAACTAAATATATATGCCAAAATCGGTTACCAAAAACAGATACAGGACGGGCCAAGGGGGAAGAACACTCTGAAAGTGCATACACTCGTTCTCGTACTCGTACTCGTACTGGTACTGGTCCTGGGAATGTATGAATGTAAATTTGTTATGGGCTTGTGGCTTTTGTTTTGATGCAAAAGTTGAACCATTTTTTTGCGGCTGTGGCTTCTGTTCAGAGTTCGTTAGTTTTTGGGATAGAAAATAAGGAAATACTTTTGACTAGCACAAAATCGAATGATGAATCATGCTGGGTCGAGTATTTGCTTGCTGTTCACACTTGCTACTGTTGTTTGATCGCCGAGTGCCACTTCCGCTGCCTCGCAGCAGATAAGCAAACGCTTGGTTGATCTTCTGGCACGATATATGGCCTGGCATGTAGCATAATTAGGTTGAGGCTATCAGTGGTGGCGAGATAATGGAGTGGAGGCTGTAAACACTATCAGTGCAAACAGTCACACAATTAGCCAAGATATCAACGGCAACGGGGAGATTGTTGGCCGCTCAGTTGGCCAGCGAAGGTTGTCGGAAAATGTCGCATGCATCGTGGATCGTCTTCTGTGTCTGTGCGGCGCTTCTGGTGGGTTTTCTTTACAAATAAATTTGACTATCCTTAAGCCATTTGTGTATTGCAGCTGGGACCTACCTTTGGCCAAGATCCAGCTGTTAACTTAGCGATTCAATGGGCCAAAGACACGAGCATCCACATCCGAATGGTCATTGAGGAGAAGCTACCAAATACGGCCAGGGCTCAGGCTGAGGGCATGGAGATTGCGGACACCTTCGACCTAGGCTTGGGTCACTGCAATGCCGAGCTGATCAGCAGTCGGAATATTACCCAGCACAAGGTGTGTGTGAATGCACTGGCAGCAGGTGCTTATGCCTCCTTGGACCGTGTGGCTGGCCAGCAATGGGCCATCTATGGCGCCAGCTCTGGGGCATCGCGTATCGGTTTGTTTTGGTGATCCAAGAACAGTACTTCATGATTTAATGTTCAATAAAGCCAAGAGGGTATCCTTGAATGGTTTCCGATAATTTCACTCTTCACTTTGGATAGGGGAAATGGTTCTGCCTCTGTCAAAGAAAATGAACTTTGGCCATATTGCCATATTGCCATCTGACTCTGACTCTTGTTGCCCCTTTTGTCTGTTGAGCTTTGCTGGGTTAAGTGTAGAGTGCAGTCCCTGCCCTGCCTGTGTCTCTGTTTCTAGTGCTCATTAGTCTGCCAAGGGGAGGGGCTAATGTGTGTGTGTGGGAGGGCCTATTGGGAGCGGGAGCGGGAATGGGAGCGGGAGCTGTTTCGTAATTATAATCATTAGATGCGAGACAAAGCCCGCACATGGCAAAGGCAACATTTGGCTTCCATTTCATGGCAATGTGTGTCAATGAAGATGAATCTGCAGGCGAGCCCCAGAACCCAGGAGGGGCACGGGGAGGGGCAAAGGGTATGCCTTGATGGATGCAGACACCGTAATGCTGTCCTTGACATGAGCGTAATGAGCGACTGGGACATTCAGTGACTCGTAAAGTTCAATATTCCGTCAGGTTTAATGCCATTTCCTCTCTGTTTTTTTTTGTACATTTTTGCATCATTTTTATGATGGTTGCATTTCACGCTCGTCGACATTTTTGTGCCTTTTGAAGGCAATTGCGTAGATGCGAGTTCTCCTCGTAGGAGTATTTTCCCCAGGTTAAGCCTTTGACTCTGCATCGGATGTGGTTTCCGTATCGGATGGGGGCGCATCCGGCTTGGGTTCATCCGTGCTGCCGCACACGCACATGGGACACTGCCAGGGACAAAAATGAACTCTGCAAAATATGAAATACACCGCACGAATGGAGGGTCTTACCTTCTCCTTGAGCACCAGTCTGTACTTGGGATGACTGCGGAGGGTTTAAAGAATTAAAGACTCAACCACTGGCACCCTCCACGGACACTCACCTGATGCCATATACGATGGGATTGTACACGGCGCTGGTCTTGGCAAAGGTCGCACCCCAGATGGTGGTCAGTGGGGTGAGGCCTTCGATTTTGAAGAGTCCAAAGTAGCAGATAACGAGGTAGGGAGTCCAGGCCATAAACCACAGCGAGATGGTGGTCAGAGCCACCTTGGCCAGCTTGCTCTCGGCGCTCTTGTCGCAGTCCTCGGAGCTGCGCAGCGACTTGACATTCATCTTCTTCGCCTGCTCCCGCATGGCCTTCTCGTGGGCAGCCACGGCGGCAATGATGAACCAGTAGGAGTAGCAGATCATGAACAGCGGCGTGTAGTACACGAACAGGGAGTAGGTGATGAGGTAGGAGCGCGGATTCCACTTTCGCGTCATGTAATCGATGCTGCAGGCGGTCAGATTGCCCTCCGGCACGTAGCTGCTCCAGCCGATGAGCGGCATGATGGTCCAGAACACAGCCATCATCCAGATGAACAGAATCTTCATGATCGAAGTCTTTATGGTCATGGGTGAGCCATTGATGCCCTTGACAATCACATTGTAGCGATCGAAGGCGATCATACACATGGACCAGATGGACACACAGCCGAAGAGGGAGCCGCAGGCAGCGTAAATGTCGCACCACAGCGGCCCCAGCACCCAGGTCTCGTAGTAGAAATTGATGATCATAACCGGCGACTGTGAGGCCATCATGCAAAAGTCCGAGAAGGCCAGATTGAGGACGAGCAGATTGGCGGGCGTGCGCAGCGACTTGGTGCCGCCAAAGATGTAGACCACAACGCCATTGCCACAGCACGAGATGATCAGAATGATGAGTGTGAACAGGCCGAGAATCTTGCTCATTGTGGGATCCATGGGAGCGAAGCGACTCCAGTAAGGATTGACCAGAGGCGCCATATCGGGCAGTACCTGCGAGACAAGAATCCACGAACCAATTTGCATATAGATCCCTACCCTCCACGCCACTTACATTATCCAACACGGAACCATTGACTCCTGTTTGCGCCTCGAATCTGGGCCCCAGCAGGGCCATTGGACTGCGCTCCATGCTATCCGATTCCGATGCGCATCGAACTGTGGCTGTGGCCCGACCCTGGCTGTTGGAACCATTTATAGAGGAATTGCTAAGCCAATTAGCTGGCCATCAGATGGCTGCTTAATGCCAACTGCCAGATAAGAGACATTTTTATTCTCAAGGTCTACACCTGCCACGGTGGGGCTCAATCAATGTTTCAATTATGTTTTCAGAGCGAGTCTAAAAATTTCTTGCCACACACGAGGCACAGTTTCCTTTGGCGGCAGTTGGATGAGGTTTTGTGGTACTTCGACATGGGCTTGGGCGAGGACAAGATCTTTGTGCAGACGCCCGTGAGGAAGGCGTTCGTGGCCAGGTCCAGGGTATCCGCCATCGAGTGCAACTGTTTCTGCGACGGACCCTGCTGAGACATCTGCTGCAGCGACTTCTTCTCGCTGCTGTACGTCTCCACGGACTTCACGGGCTCAGCCTGATGCTCCGGGTAGATGTAGTCATCCTCCGAGCTGGGCAGCGCGTACTGCACGATGGAAATCTTTTGGCCAAGTATGAAATACTTGCAGCAATCCTTGATCTGGTAATAGGCATTCCGAAAGCTCTTCAGCTTGTAGGTCTACGAAATGGAGAGAGGATCGTAATTCAGTTGGGAGTTGGAGAGTGCCAAGACTAACCGGTGAGAGTTCTGTGATGGTCGTGGGCTTGCCGTTCTCGCCGAACGAACTCATTAGCACCACCAGACACTGCGTGGACGAGCGATAGAGGTTGGACCACAGCAGCAGCTCCTTGTACACCGACTCGTCCATGGCCACAATGTAGTCGAAGTAACGAAAGTCCTGGACAGTGAACTGATGGGAAAAGGAAGATGGATCATTAGCACTTAAAGTGGTTAAACCTCCACTCACCTGACGACAAAAGTGATCAGATCGCAGTCCATGATCTCGCAGGGTTCTCAGGCAGTGCTTGTGGGGACGGCGGCCAATGTTCCAGGAGCGCAGCCCTGCACTGTCCACCTCCCAGTAGATGCTCGTCTTCACCATGAGGCTCTGCATAATGGCCTCCGCCATGGGTGAGCTGCAGATGTTGCCTGCAAACAGGGATTAATGAACAATCCCTCAAACGGTGTATGCCATATGCTTACCCATGCACACGAATAGGATTTTCTTGTGTACCATTTTCCCTCTCTCAATTCAAATTATTCACGCTAAAATTTATATTTTTTTCTCTTGCCAGACTTGAATTTGTGCCAACTGAAATTTGATTGAACGTATCCAAAAATATGTAGCCGAATGCCATAGACGTATTCCTGTATACTCATGCAAGCGCCGTCTACTAGGTTAGTATGGATTTTTCGACGTGCCAGCATGCTCAGGTTAACCCTCGACGACCCACCCAACCACTTCCTTGGACTTTGCACTTTTGCTCGCTGGTTTTTGTCCTGCACGCCCACAAAGGCACTATAACGAGTGTTGCAACTGCATGTGTCACGGGGCAGAAGGGGTTCATTTGTTCAACTAGATAGTGTCAAGTGGCTGTCAAGTGACTGGCCACGTTCACGTCCACGTTGCGAATTGCATTCGAAATTAGTTAAAAAGTTCAGCGAACTCCAAGTGGAAGTGGAATATGTACACATCTCCCCACACGCCCCCTCACACATAATCTGATGTCATGTCATGAAGGTGCAAAATGCGTTTGGAATTCATTTTATTTCAGTGTCAATTATGCGAAAGTTTCCCTCTGTCTCTCCGTCTGTCTGACACTTTTTATTTTCATTTTCATTCAACGGATTCCCTGCCCACCGTCCACCCCTGTCTCTTCTGTGGAGTTGGCTTGTTACTTGGCCATTGGCAATATCAAATTGGAATTGCATTGAACGACTAAATTGAAAATTCAGCTGAAAAAGCATATTTCACTTATCACTTTTCACACAAAGCACACACACACAGACACCCACAGAGGGACACACTCAGGCAAATTTCGAAAACAAAGCTTGCCGACCAGTGCACTGCAGTGGCCAGAGGGCAGATGGCAGCTGGCAGGAATGGCAAAGAGCAAAAGAGAAAGCAAGTTGGAGGTGAGTAAGAGAAAGGGAGGAAGGGGCAACAAAATGAAATTGTAAGCGCCAAAGCAACAGCAAAAATAACAGCAGAAACAACAGGAGAAACAACAGCAACAAGTCAGTCAGTCAGGGAAAATAATATGTGTACGTATGTGGCCGACTAGTGTTGTTGTGGGTGTGAGGAGAGGGGTCGTGGTGGGTCAGGTTAGAGTGGACGAACGGAAGTGTGGCACTGGCATTGCATTGTTGTTTTAATTAAAAACAAACCTCCGCCGAGTTGTTGTTTTTCTGTTGCAGCAACATAAAAACATGGAAATAAAACCAAAGTGAGCAACCTGAGAGAAACAACTAAGCGAGAAAGATAGAGGGTGAAAGAGAGATAGACAGAGGACGATGTGTGTGAGAGCGGATAGAAGAAAGTGTTGAATATTTAGCCCAAAAAAAATATAAAACAAACGGAATAAGCTGACAAGAACTCAAGAGTCGACTAAAGGTTACCCACTACTGGGGAAATCTTGCAGAAGAATTAAGAAGGAGATGCCAGAAACGAAACGACGCACGCGAAAGCGAAAGAAGATAGTTTATAGCTTTGACGATCACCCACATGCTATGCCAGCAGCGTCGCGGACGGTCCGAATTGCCTGTGCCTGTGCAAAAACTTCTTAGCAGCGAGCGAGGGTAGCGCAATAAAGAGAGCGTTGCAGCACGTAGCGGCTGCTGCTAAGTTGAGAACGAAGCTTAGCGAGAGCCCGAAAAAAGTGTAGGAGCGAAGAAGGTGGGATAGAGAGACGAAAGAACAGCCGCTGCAGCGCGTAAGCATAATCCAGCGCTATGTACAGTTAGATCTGTGTACAGATAATAGGGACAATGATGATCATTTACGTTATGCTGGAATTTAAGCATTTACGACTAAATATCTCAAACCACATTTGAATGCAATATACCCTTTTAGCACCAAAAATGTTAGCACAAGAAGATGACACAAGCGGAAATAAGAGACTATCTGCTTCTACATATGTAAGTGTTTCTGCCAGTGCACTGTGTATGTTTCTGCTTCAGCTAATGGCAGCCGTAATGCTGTGGCAATCCCTAAATTAAAGGATGAGCCGGCATGGACACACCACACCACGCTACGCCAGCAGAAGAAAAACCACACCTAATGGCAATTTAAATGAACAGAAACACAGAAAAACACAGAATGAAAATCAAAGTGGAAAAAATGTAAACCTGAAGCAGTAAAAAAAAGCCAAAACAAATAAAGCCGAGGCGAGGCCTGACTCCACCCATTGTTGGGAGAATGGCAAATGCTTTTTGTTGACCACAAATGCAATTTACAGCACAACAATCAGCGGTGGGAATGGAACGGTACGCAGAATGCACCAGCAAAAGCATCCAGCACCAGAAGAAACTAATAAAACAGAAACTTTGTTGCTTTGTGTTGCAGTCGGGCGGGCACTGCACTGCATTAACTGACCAGCGGACAGGCAGCCAGCAAACCAGCCAGGTTGAATGGGTACCAAAGAGACGAAGAAAGAGAGAGAGAGAGAGAGAGAGAGAGAGAGAGAGCAGCAGCAATATGCACAATGCCCTAGAAGGGCAAGGCTTCGGTAGTCGGTGCTTTAAATACCCTGGGAAATCCATTGATCCTATGACAGCCAACATATCGATATGCTATTGGTATAATAATTTGGTCCTTCTAATTATTTATAATATTTTTTAAAAGAGTAAAAATATTAATAAGTCCATAAACATCATCTGCATAGTGGGACACCCACTCCCACCATAGTTTTGGCCACACATGGCACATACAATTAGATATACAGCTCGTTGAGGTTAAAGTACCAGAGGGGCGGGCACACCATAGGGGCGGGTGCGGTGCGGTGTGTTGTAGGGCTATAGACTGGGTGTACTGGTGCAGCATTTTCCCGCCGTGTTTGCGGCCATTTTCCGCTGATTGAGGTTCAGAGCATGTATATTTGGGTTTGCTTTTTAAAATTAAATTTGCCGTAAGCACACGTACACACCACACACCGTATGCATCTGTGTGTGTGTGTGTGTGCAGGTCCTCTTTACATTGCCAAATAAACGCCTCAACAACTACTTTGTGTGAGGGTTTTGTGTTCGTTCAGGTGTGATAAATAAATTAAAATTACACACGAGTGTGAGCGGGGATTCTTTGGTGGCTAATTTCCTAGTTGGGGGGCACTCGTAATTGTTGGCCAGAATATTATGATTTAATTAGCCAGAAAATGTTAAATGCACACAAAACAGTTCTCTAGATTAAATGCTATCTCTGCATCGTGTGTAATCTTATCTGCTGAAATTATCTGAATCATTTTTTAGACAGATGGAAATCCATCAATTTCCGTTGCCTGCTTTTGGGACCTCGGCCGCTTTTGAGTAATTTCTTGTGCCACATTAAAAAATGATGAAAGAAAACAGCAAACAGCAAGGAAACCCCAAACAAACTGAGGCTCATTAAAAGCCAAAGGCAAATATGGCCGAGTCGTCTTGGCCGTTTCCCCAGGCCCTAAACTTCGACCTCATCAATGGCAGACAGCAGGCTGGAAAGTCTACTGTCTGGCCGAGATTTTTTGCGGCCGATAATGCGGCACGTAACGGCAATTTCCAAAAATGATGCAGTAGATGGGTCCAGAGACGGGACGGGGCACGTTCCGCATGCCACACGCCATGGTCCAGGGGCAAGTCAATCGTCTCTGCAGCGGCGGCATCTTCATCTTTCTGCTGGCGCTCGTAAGTCATTTAACATTTTGAGGTATTTAATGAGCCAAAAACTTTTGGCCGCACATAAATTAAAAGTCGACTAGAACTGGGAGGCCCGGCATCGGCCTGAGCGATGTATCCCAACGGCAGCTGCCCGTCTGGGCTGGTCTGGTCTGGACTCCGGGGTCAGGGTCAGGTGTGCCGGCTGACCAGGCAATGGCTCTATTAGCATGGCCATTAAAATTAGACAAATGGTTGCCATTGCCGTTTGCCGTTTGCCGTTTCCCATATCCGCAACTCTGCCTCAGTCCGCAGATTTATGGGCATCTAGGACGGGGGTGCAGAGGAGCAGAGGGTCTGAGGGCCGGAGGGTCTTCGGGCTTCGTTTAGAAGTCGAAGTCCAAGTCGACTTTTGGCGCAATCACATACGCCACTTGAGAGAAATGTGCTGCGGCCATTTGATATGATAAATGATTTTGTTTCCCCATCAAAAAACCAATTGCAAGTGCGAGTAAGGAAGTGAATCACAGCGGCATTGGTTTGTGTGTGTTCGTGTGTGTGTGAAGGTCAGTCAAAGTCATCGTCTTTGTCCTAGTCCTACTTTAAGCATTCAGCTTTAAGCCGTTGAAGTGGGGTGTAGGGGGATGTTAACCTTCCTCCTCGGAGCCCCCATCGACACTTTCTTCAATTGCGTTTTCCGTTCTTCACCATTGAATGAGATTTTCCGTGTTGCTGGCACTCTTTTGTGCGTATGGCTAAGCGGCTTCTATGCGGTATTGCTTCTCAAGTTCCCAGCAAATTTAACCCTTCACTTCATTAAACGTACTTTCCCATACTCCCACGGGGCGCACACACAAATCACTCTGGCCGCAAACACAAAAAGATACAAAGGCAGTTGCTGGGGCTGGGCTTGGGCTTGGGCTGACGAGGGAGTGGATTGGGTGTGGCCATAGAAATTCGACATGTACTCCCCCACCACCCAACACAAAAGCCTAATCGTGCAGCTGCCTTGCAGCTCCCGCTCACCTTGGCCACGCCTCACAATGGCTTCTGGAACGGGTGCTGCCGCCTTTTGGTTGTAATCCATCAAGCGGCTTCGGTTTTGATTCGGGTTGGGTAGAGGGCCGGAACTGAACGGAGGGGCCACTGTCACAACAAATACAGCAAAGCAGCTAGCAGCAAAAGCAAGACAAAGATGGCGAAGAATTGGTTGGGGCTTGGGTTAGGAATTTCGGCATTGGAATTGTGGATGCCACAAAGAGCACCCAAACCGTAGGCACCAGCAAATTGTTTTCCATTCTCTGGGACCAGGCATCTCTGCTTGTTGTTGTTGCGTGTCCTCGTTCTGGTGCTGGTGCTTGTGGCTGGTCCTTGTTTCCGTTTGTTGTTTTAGGCATTTAAGCATTTAGTCAGTCGACTGAGCTCCTTTCACCGAAGCAGTCCATCAGTCATTTCAGTTGTCATTCCATCTACCAGGAGTAGTATTTTCTGTGCCCCAACTGCGTGCAAT